GATTACTTTTCGCAAAGCAATATGATCATTTTCAAAGGAAAAGAGAGGGAGCCTAGTTGATGCTTGTTTTCATCGTTGGAAGTTTTCAAATCTACTTGGTGAAATGAAATAACAAATAAATAAAGATTAGACATGAAAAGTGGATTTACCTAACAATAAGCTAAGCCAAATAGTAGAAATATGACAACTAAAACATACTAGATTTTACAATAATGTGCTTACTTGTAACATCGTCTGACTAGATCTAGTAGTACTACTAATATGTAATATGATAAAGGCACTATTAGTAGCTTAATTACTAAATCAAGTAGTAGTGCATATTTATAAATAATTTTATACTATGTAGGCTATCAGATACAAATTTAAAAAAAAATATTTGCCTACTTTTTCTTCTTTACTTATTTAAATTTGTAGAAACTAATACTAATTTTTAAAAATATAGGCCATACCTCAAGGCTAGAGTAGGCCTAGATAATTTAAAGTTTTGTTAGATCTAGAATCTAGCTCTAGCTAGATCTATGTTAATTTAATAATTAAAATGATGTTTATGATTTTCTGTCCTTACCTGATTGAAACATCGTGTTGAAACGAAACTAAATTATAAATTCGCATTCTGGTAAAGTCGTTTACATCACACCAACTAGATAAATAATCGCAGAAAATTAATTGCGTCTACGCTCTCTTGCTGATTGGTATAATATAATTTTTGCAGTCGACGTAAAGAAATTCTTTCGAATTTCCATTTCGAGTACAACAACATATCACACTGCAGATCACCATTTTGATTTTTGCGTAGACCTAAAATGGCGGTTGTTTACCAGAGGACTTATTCGTGACGTCACATGCAACCTCTCATCATAAAATACAAAATTGTTATAATACATTCACATTTAATTCGTTTACCTTCCTTATATATCAACGACCACTTAATACGCTTTCAGGTTGTTGTTTTTTTCTAATTTGTATATATAAATGCTTTTTTAATTACATTATGGAGTTGGAAGAGAGTACATTTCAGTTTAAAGGCCTCTGAAAAATATGAATCTACATTGTACTAACGTTGAATTTAGAACTGTAAAAAGTAGAGAATAATGTTCTATTTCCACAAATTTCCACGTATTTATTTAAAGACGATACTTAATTTATTTATATATTCATTTATAGTAACATCCCTTTAATTATGAAAGTTTAGAATAATACTTTATTTTCTCAAAATTTAAAACCTTATACCGCGACTATCCCGGAAAAGTACACACAATAAAATGACGTAATTGATTCTGAAGTAAAAATATAAAATTAAAAATTTCATGTGTAAAAATACACAATAATAATGACTCTATCGATACTTGGTAATAAAGACACTTACATTCTCACTGAGTTTATTTGTCTAATCTTATAAGTGGTCTGCATGCAGAGTCTGTTTGCAAATACTTTATTTATATATTTTCATATCATACAAGTCGCCTAGCGGGACGTCATTTATGGATGATCGTCGAAACACAAAGTTTTCCAAGGATAACAGGTGTTCTAGTATATGATTAAATGCTCCGGGAGAGAATAATTTTTTAATTTTCACTTATGCCCACCAAAAAAAAAAATCTAAAGCGTCGCTGCGAGTTTTCCCTATCGACTCACAATGAATCTGTGACCAACACAAATCGAGACTAAATTGTTCTAGATCTACGTCATTGAAAGGGATACTATTTTTCTAGTACACATAGAGTATGTTGTATTTGTATAATGTTCTATTACACACTCTATGATTTTAACTTGTTCGTATAGAGGAAGTATTTTAATCGTGCAAAGAAACACACGAAACCTCAATACTACATCCTAACGGAGTATAAGGGACTTATTTTAATCGGGCAAAAAAAAATATATGCAGATTTATCAAAGGCACTATTAGTAGCTTAATTACTAAATCAAGTAGTAGTGCATATTTATAAATAATTTTATACTATGTAGGCTATCAGATACAAATTTAAAAAAAAATATTTGCCTACTTTTTCTTCTTTACTTATTTAAATTTGTAGAAACTAATACTAATTTTTAAAAATATAGGCCATACCTCAAGGCTAGAGTAGGCCTAGATAATTTAAAGTTTTGTTAGATCTAGAATCTAGCTCTAGCTAGATCTATGTTAATTTAATAATTAAAATGATGTTTATGATTTTCTGTCCTTACCTGATTGAAACATCGTGTTGAAACGAAACTAAATTATAAATTCGCATTCTGGTAAAGTCGTTTACATCACACCAACTAGATAAATAATCGCAGAAAATTAATTGCGTCTACGCTCTCTTGCTGATTGGTATAATATAATTTTTGCAGTCGACGTAAAGAAATTCTTTCGAATTTCCATTTCGAGTACAACAACATATCACACTGCAGATCACCATTTTGATTTTTGCGTAGACCTAAAATGGCGGTTGTTTACCAGAGGACTTATTCGTGACGTCACATGCAACCTCTCATCATAAAATACAAAATTGTTATAATACATTCACATTTAATTCGTTTACCTTCCTTATATATCAACGACCACTTAATACGCTTTCAGGTTGTTGTTTTTTTCTAATTTGTATATATAAATGCTTTTTTAATTACATTATGGAGTTGGAAGAGAGTACATTTCAGTTTAAAGGCCTCTGAAAAATATGAATCTACATTGTACTAACGTTGAATTTAGAACTGTAAAAAGTAGAGAATAATGTTCTATTTCCACAAATTTCCACGTATTTATTTAAAGACGATACTTAATTTATTTATATATTCATTTATAGTAACATCCCTTTAATTATGAAAGTTTAGAATAATACTTTATTTTCTCAAAATTTAAAACCTTATACCGCGACTATCCCGGAAAAGTACACACAATAAAATGACGTAATTGATTCTGAAGTAAAAATATAAAATTAAAAATTTCATGTGTAAAAATACACAATAATAATGACTCTATCGATACTTGGTAATAAAGACACTTACATTCTCACTGAGTTTATTTGTCTAATCTTATAAGTGGTCTGCATGCAGAGTCTGTTTGCAAATACTTTATTTATATATTTTCATATCATACAAGTCGCCTAGCGGGACGTCATTTATGGATGATCGTCGAAACACAAAGTTTTCCAAGGATAACAGGTGTTCTAGTATATGATTAAATGCTCCGGGAGAGAATAATTTTTTAATTTTCACTTATGCCCACCAAAAAAAAAAATCTAAAGCGTCGCTGCGAGTTTTCCCTATCGACTCACAATGAATCTGTGACCAACACAAATCGAGACTAAATTGTTCTAGATCTACGTCATTGAAAGGGATACTATTTTTCTAGTACACATAGAGTATGTTGTATTTGTATAATGTTCTATTACACACTCTATGATTTTAACTTGTTCGTATAGAGGAAGTATTGTAATCGTGCAAAGAAACACACGAAACCTCAATACTACATCCTAACGGAGTATAAGGGACTTATTTTAATCGGGCAAAAAAAAATATATGCAGATTTATCAAAGTTTCAGCGTTCTATGCGTAATCGAGTAAAAAAGGAAACGGGCTTCGCAATTCTGTCCGTGTGTGTGTGTGTGTGTGTGTGTGTGTGTGTGTGTGTATTATATCAAATTTTTAGTTCTGTATCAACTTTTCAGCTATTTCAGGTATCCAGAAGTGGAACTTTTTCTACTTTTGGTGTTTGAAAAGCCTATAACTTGACTACTATTACAGGAAGATGTACGAAATTTGAAAAAAAATAAGACCGGAAGAAGTAATTTACGCTATTTCCGATTTCTCAAAAAACTGGAAGTGGCACTTTTTCTACTTTTAATTTTTCAAAAGCCTTTAACTTGAGTACTATTTCAAATAGATAAATGAAATTTCACATGTAAGTAAAAGATCTAATTATCTGCCTTCTTCCAAATTTTGAGTAATTTCCGTTGACCGGAAGTAGTAATTTACGCTATTTCCGATTTCTCAAAAAAAAAAAAAAAACGCATGTGAATTTATAAAGTACCAATAATATTCCGCACTATTATACACAGATTATTTGGCGCTCACTTTTTGCCAAATACTATTTTTCTACAAGATTCTATTCTATTTTCAAAAGTTTTAGTAAATAAAAATTGATTAAAATTGTGTCTATATTCCGAGTTGCCATCCCCCGTAGTGTTATATAATATTATTCGAGAAAGTTTAGCGGTGATCAAACCCAGTTTATGTTCATTGTTTTTGTTTATGTTAATGTTCAATTTTGCATTTGTTTGCTTTTATTGTGTAGAAAGCAATATAGTCATACATGATGCTATTCTGATTTTTAAAAATATTTTAATTTTATCGTATGGTGTTGTTGCTCATAAGGAGAGGGAAAGTATGAATAAGCGGTTTTCTGTTTAATGGTTTGACTCTGATAGTAGGAGTACTTGTATAACAAGAGGTGACATCGAGGAATAGAAGGTGATGAGAATATGAAAATATGAAATTTTAGAATCGTGTGTTATTGCTGTTTTGAGCATAATATTATGTAATTTACTTGTATTGTCCTTAAAATATTTTGTAAATGAACACATGTATGTGAATTAGCGTTAACATTTGAGCATGGTATTACAAAATGCCTGGAGCAACGTTTAGCTGATAACGGCTATTATTTATGTATTTTCTTTTAATGTTTTTTCTTTTTGACTTTTAATTATCATTTTTCTTTTAGGTTTCGTTGTGAACTTGAATGGATATTTTGTTGCGCTGTTTTGTATGTGTATTTATCCGTATTAAGTTTTCAAATGGTTCGATGATTATTTTTTCATTTAATAAAATGTATAAGTTGATTATCATTATTTTGTTAGATTGAGGATTGGAGTTGAAAAGCTTGCACTGACGCACGACTCTATAATAGTCCAAAGAGGTATTTAATGATTATATACCCCTTCCCACCCACCTCCTGTCATATATTAGGCCTTGCATAAACAAATAACGATTTAACTTTGAAACTGTGATGTGTTAGAACTCACGATTCAGTAGGAGTGCCAGTTATTATGATCCTTTTGTCGTCAAGTTGTTGGTTAAAGCGAACCATCTTTGGCTACAACCAATATCAAAAGACAATTTAGAATTATGTTTGTATATCTCTGATACACTTAGTGATCGTGTATGTTTTCTTAAATGATTATTCGTGTGTGTGTGTATGTGTGTGTCTGTTGCTATGTCATGTGTGTGGAATGCATGAGCGTATTGAAGTGACAAGAATATATATATATATATATATATATATATATATATATATATATATATATATATATATATATATATAAAATAAAAATAAAATATATAAAATTATGTAGTACATTGTAAAAAATTTAAATGGACAGCAAGTGTTGCTGCGTTAATTAACTTTTCCTTTATATTATATAGTTATTTACTTACTGGTCGCTTGTACTGAAACAGAATTTATATATATATATATATATATATATATATATATATATATATATATATATATATATATATATATATATATATATATATATATATATATATATATATATATATACACATGTGTATATATATATATATATATATATATATATAGGCCTATATATATATATATATACATATATATATACTTATATATATATACATATATATGTATATATATATATATATATATATATATATATATATATATATATATATACATATACATATATAAAGCAATGTATGTGTGTGTATATGTCTGTCTGTCCATAATGCATTAATACACCTTTCATCCGATCGCAATGTTCAGATAAACTAAAATCATCCAATACACTATTAAAATTTTACTGTGAAATATTTTCTCTGAGATATTTTGTCTGAGATCTATTGTACATGGTATCATTTGTCCTAATATATTTTGTTCTGGTATCTTTTGTCCGTGAAATTATATATATATATATATATATATATATATATATATATATATATATATATATATATATATATATATACATATGTGTGTGTGAGTGTGTATGATTGAGTAATATTTTGAAATGCATATATTCACGTTTGTTGTTATTATGTTTTAATACTTAAATTAACTAAGTTAATCTCTTACTGAATACAAGATCCAATTAATTTGAGGCGTCCCACGAATCCTTATATACCATAACTTTGTCAATCTAACCACTGTTGTAAAAGTATACGATGTGTTGTTGAGATAGATCTAGTGAATTATAATTTTAAAAAAAATCATTTACGTAGTATAATCTTAAGTTTAGGCTCGAAAAAAAAAATAACTAAAGTTAAATTTATAAATCCAAATCACAAAGTGCACACTTTGACATCACCTTGAATTCTTGGGGGTTTATTACTATTTTTATTTGAATTGGACCTTCAGATGTCAATGGTATTCCCTCTCTTGTAGTTGCTTGTCCAAATTGTAAGTTTCTCTTATAATTCATGACGAGTGTCCTAATGTTAAAACGAATATCGGCTTGAAATTCGATGTCCACAAGACAGTTTTGTTTTTCACACAGTTCAATAGTCAATCTAGACAGAGATTTGATTAACTTTTTTTTAGACGTTTAGGCAATTAAGAGGATTATACACGTTTGAAAAATCTTAAAAAGTTCAATGGTATGCCTAGATACCGATTAATTAATAGCTTGTTACTTAAGGCAATTAACGTAAACTGTTTTGTAAACTAGCCTACTAAGGCATGACAATGTCATTTAGAATTCAAATTTTTATTTTTGCTAAATAATATGTGCATTCCTTTTTAAAATAGCCGTTATAACCTGCTGTCCGTTGTTTTAACAGTTGCCTCGATGTGAATTTCTTTACCATCAAACATTGGATGTCTAATCTCATCAGTGTAAGAGGCGCTATACTGTGGACATTTGATTTATTTATTTATACAAATACTAGGCATACTGCCTAGCTTCGCTTAAGTTTTCAAAAAAAATTTGAGAAATAGAATGATTAATTAATAGATGATTGGCTGTTAAGTTAAATGCTTAGGGCCTAAATTTATACGATGGAGTAATTTCATGTCACACAAATATTGATGGAATATTCGTAAACTTATTACTCGCAAGGTTATTAGAACTGCAAGGGCTTTCATAATAACATCAATCAAATATTATATAGGTCAAATTTTTAATTAATTTATAAAAAAAATAATTAGGCGACCAATTAAGTCAAATTGAATTTCATGATGCATTGCCTTCATGTCTTGACCCATTTACCAACTACGAACCGTACCTGTTAAGTAGCAATCGTGTGCCCCACCACTCGACCATATCGTCTCCCCCATACTGGCCACCAGTTGTTCCGGTTGTTTGTACACAAACACCACGTGAACACTACTCAGTAAGCAAAAAGAGGGAGAGTACCGAACCTTGTTTTCATCAAATTACAATTACTGGGTTATGTCCCTTCCCCCCACGTTTTTTTGTACAATTATATAGCGGTCTAAAATGATCAATAAAATGTTTCCATGGATCAATTTAGTAATAATAACAATTGAATATTCTATTGTCATCGGAAACAAAGCTTCCCTGAAAATTTCAGCGCGCTAGCTAACTGGGAAGTGCCCGAAATTTCGATCGCAAGATTTGATTGGAAAGACGCAAAAGCAAGTTAAAGAAAACGTGGTAAAAAAGAGGTATTTTATCACCAATCCAGTACAAGTACTTGAGATTTTTGTCGCGAAAAAGCGCCCCACCCCCACACCATATTGGACAAATTCGGTAGAGCTGAATTTAACATAACTAACTATTTTTAAAATGATAAACAATTATACTATGCGCTTTAGTACTATTAGTTTCTTTTCTTTGATAAAGAATATCTACTCACCAATCCAATGTAAATCCCTGCAGCATCTTGTTAAAAGTCATTACCTTTTTTTACGGTTAAACAATAGTACAATACGCTTTAAAATACTATTCTTCTCTATGTGCTAATGTTTATCAACTCACCAATCTAAAGTAAATTCTTCTGATTTTAGTCGCTAAAATGCGCCCCTCCCCAGCTAGGTCTCTTTTTCTTAACGGTTATGTTTTACAGTTAGACAATCAAGGTAGAAAACAGTAAAATTAATATGTAAAGGCTTGTAGCCGTTACATTTCTCAACTATTTATAATTTAAAACTGCAGCATAAAATCAGCTTTTAATTTTTTTTCCAACCCCATTTGGCAACCCACTAGGGGCGGCGCTCGGGATGGCCTTCCCCCTCTAGCTACGCCTCTGCACGTTACATACCTTTACATCAGGGGTCTCCAAACTACGGCCCGCGGGCCGGATGCGGCCCGCGAAGTCCTCTCATCCGGCCCGCGGAGATCATTTTGTCCAAGAAAAAATCGTTTGTTGGTGATAGCTGAGGAACTTTGGCCAGAAAAACCAAAGACATGCCTGGAAGAAACTGGCCCCCGAACGGAAATTTGATAGTTAATGCGGCCCTCGGATTGAAAAGTTTGGAGACCCCTGCTTTACATTGTAGGTAAAATTAATTGGAAATTGATTTAAAATATTTTTAATTATAATTGACAATTTCTGTGATATGAAACTTTTGTGTTTTAAAGATATATTTATGTTATAATCAAATACTTAAATTTAAACCTGACATGGTAGTTTGTTCAGGAGGTATGATAGGTGGTAATTATTAAAAAAAATTCACCTAGGGTTAAACCCTGCTATTGGTACGCCTAAAATGTATTCAGATTTCTTCCCCCGGAGTGGATGGGATGTCTCTCTTCACCACGCCTATATTCGCCCATTAGAGAATGATAAGGCGTGGAGTTGGTGGATTCTAGATAGCATGACATTAACCTAAAAGTCGCGAATTGAGAACCCACCGTCCTGATGAACACTTGACTTACCTTATATATGGAAAAGGCGACTAGTCATAATTCTGACCTCTATATGTCTGTTTTTATTCAAACGTATGAAATCTTGATGTGCTGTTTTAACCACAATGCACGGGGGAAAAGGCGTAATAAAAACATGTAAGATGATTAAAGAAATCTGTATAAGCACATTAAAGTAATGACCTGCGATGAGCTTCGTTTGGTTTGATGTTGAAAAGTGCCGTTGTCCAGGTTCGTCATTTGTAGAGAGTCTCCGCCATGCACCGACCAGAAACTCGCCAGTAGAGAAAAAAACGTCAGTACCAGCTTAAACATGGTGCACTGGTCCTATTTTAAAATATTTTATATAAAATAAACAAATAATTTTCAGTGTTTTAATAAGTGCTTAAATAGGAAAAGGAAATCGTTTTTATCCTACATTACAAGTCAATAGACGACGACGCTAGGTATGAGACCAATTTTCATGTCAAAGTGTTCTGAAATATTAATATTAGTTGCGCAAAACACTAAACAGAACTATTTATTAATGCGATAATAGATATTTTCGCAAGCTCATGACCAATCATGCGTAAGCTGTAAAAAACAAAATTAGATACGTTTTAAATTCTAGCACCCATTAAAACCAACCAATACCTAAACAGTATCTGAATGCTAATCCAAACTTTGAGTTTTACATACATTAGTCTAATTATTTTTTAATTCTCCAGACACATTATAATCCAGCTTTAAAGAATTTTAGTTCAAACATAAAAATTAACCTGTTCAATAATCGAACACTAACACGCCGAACTTAATCTAACAGTAGGCCTACAACATACCGAAATCACAATTGACTAGATAGTAAGGCCGATCCCCATCTTAACATATTTTAAAATACTAAACCTATTCGAACAAGCTTATAAATAATGGGGTCTGCTTAGCGTTAAATATTTTTCATTCTGATATTGAGCAAAACCGGCTTAATTTTTCTTTAGATTAATGAAACAAGTTCACTTACATAATAAATTATATTTTCTCAGATTCTAAAGTTCATTTTTTACTGTATACTTCTTAATGCACACACTGGCTGTGGAGAATTCAAAATGGCTTCCCTCACCTATGAGATACGCGCCACGTTGACAAGAAAAGATGGCGGATAGTGAATCATGAACTTGAAGACAATTACGCTCGTAACGTCATCTGCAGATGTTGTTCACAATTATTCCTGATACCGAAATCCCAGATCACATCAACGTCTTTGCAGTGTGTCTAGTCTTAAAAGTTCAACACTATGATAGGTTTTGTAAGCGCGAATTTTAATCAGGGAAAATTATAGTCTTAGGGTGGGTTAGGTTGGTGGAAGTGGTTAAGTTTTGAGTTAGTGTAAGGGTTTAAGTTCAGGTTATGTTTATATTAAACTAAAAGTTACGGTTCAGGTTTCAGATTTAAGGCTTTGGCTCAATCTTAGCCCGAGGTGTAAGTTTAACTTGCGGCTTAGGTTGTTGTTTCAGTTAAGATAATAATTTAAGTTTAGGGTTAGAGTTAGGATTACAGATAGGGTAAGTGTTAGGGTTAGCTTCATCGTTAGCGATAAATGTTGCGATTAGAATTGATTTTTGGGATAAGGGTAGAGATTATTGAGTGGATAGTAAGTGTTATGATGGAGTACTTTTGAGGTACAATATATTCATGCTCATTTTAATTGTGGTTTTGTAAAGTAATTAAAATTCCCCTTCCAAACCTGACGGTCGATGGGGCGAATGAAGTAGAGTTAACCTGTTTCTGTGACCTCGGTATATGAACGGATAATTTGGTCAGCACTATACCCAGCCGCCTATACGTACCCTTACGTGAGTTGGGTACCAATCATAGTTGGGGGACGGACGGATTCGGGGACGTTCTAATGACTTAAACCCGGATTTGAACTCGAGACTTATGGGTTAGCAGTTTAATTCTCTAAAGCTAGGTCACTCCGTATCTTTGTGTTTTTGTGGGTTATGTTATAGTTTTAAAAATTAAATATCGATTTTTTAAAGTTAATTTAAATTTTGTTTTATTTAGAAGTAGAGTCTTATGAAAAAACATTATTTCATAAATTAAAATCGATTTTAAGATGGTTTAAAGTTTTTTTTTTTTTTTTAGTTGCTAAAATTTTTACTCTTTCGAATAGCGTGAAGAAAATAATAAATATACGCAAATTGCTAAAACATATTAAACGGATCAATGTCAAATATGATTTTCGTTTAGATTCCTAGAAAAAGTGGATACATATTAATAACAATAGGGTCGAAAAAACTAATTAATTAAAATGTTTTGTAATTTTGCCAATGGAGGTAATTTACAAATAAATTCAACTCACGCTAATAAAAAATATGTGAATGCAAAATCTCCAAGAGGGAATTATTGTTGGAATACTCTATTAAGCAAAATGTGAAATCAAATTCAACAGATGTGTAAGAGAACAATTTTGATGGAATATTATAATTAGCATGGGTTAATAAAAGGCTTTTATTTATTTTATTCACTGAACGTACTGTTTACTAATTATAATTTTTAATAAACTATTTCGCACTATTATACACGCGTCATCACGCTCATTAGGTGCGCAATGCTTTTAGTCATGAAACTCTATTGTAAATATTTTTTTTACATTTTAAGTACTGAAAAAAAAAAGAATGAATTGACAAAGTGCAATATGGTAGGTAAAACACGAATATTTTAAACGAGCCGACCCGCGGCGTATCATACGCCGCTATTTAGTTGTTTTATTTTCTACTTTTCAGTAATTCCTAATTTGTGAATTCGACAGTACCAATGCTGCCACTGAAAATATTTGCTTTAAAACACTACCCCCCCCCCTTTCCCCTAACCCCGACCCTAACCCCCCCCCTCCGTGAAAGTAGCCTCCTCTTAGTTAACTCCTCTAAGTTTAAAATCGTATCAAACTAAATTATATGCCCATAATAGCCGTAACTAAACCCATCTCTACGATTTGTAAACATTTAGAGTGAACACTTCTCATCAGACAATGTGTGGGTGGGGTGAGGGTGGTATTGATAGTGATAGAGAGAAAGAGAGGGGACTGTAAGGCGCGCTTGCAGCTTGTTTTCGAATGTCTCCCATAAGAGAATTATATATATATAGATAGATACTGCCTTTTATACACTGAACTTACTGTTTACTAATTATTATTTTATCTTTCGGTTTTCGAACAAGCTGGGGTTTTATAGTCATTCACTGAATTAGGCGCGTTCGCCGGCGCTCGAAAGGGTGCGATTTGGCGCCACGGGTTAGACTGAGCACTAAGCGTTATGTTTGCATTTCAGTTGTGTTTATGTTATGAGTGTTGTGTTTGTTTTTTCCTTTCTATTTTTTTGCGTTTGCATTTGTGTTTGCATTCTGTTTGTGTTTTCATTTGTGTCTTTATTTGGGTTTGTTTTTACTTTCTCGTATATACGAAGTATAGAGAAAGTATTGTAATCGTGAAAACAAAAGAAAAAAAATCGAGATTTTTACAAATCTCGACGTTTTACACCTCACTAATACGGAAAAACATAATTTTGCAATCTTGTCCGTATGTCTGTGTGTGTTTATGTGTGTCTGTGTGTGTGTGTGTGTGTGTCTGTGTGTAAACACGATAACTTGAGAACCGTAACATCTAGGTTGATGAAATTTCATATATAAGTATTTTATCAAAATCGTAGATCCGTATCAACTTTTGAGCGATTTCCGATAACCGGAAGTGGTACTTTTTCTACTTTGAATTTTTAAAAAGCCTATACATTGAGTACTATTTCAGATAGATAAATGAAATTTCACATGTAAGTCAAAAATCTAATTCTCTACCTTCTGTCAAATTTTGAGTAATTTCCGTTGACCGGAAGTAGTAATTTACGCTATTTCCGATTTCTCAAAAAACGCATGTAAATTTATAAAGTACTCATAATATTACGCACTATGCACATTTTATTAGGCGTCACTTGGTGTGCAATTCTTTTTTTTTTCAAGATTCCATTCTATTATAAAAAGTTTAAGTAATTAAAAATGGATTACAAATATTGTCTATGTCCTGAGTTGCCATCCCTCGTAGTTTTATATTAGAATATTCGAGAAAGTTAAGGGGAGATCACTCCCGGTTTATTTCTTTTGTGTTTGTGTTTGTGATTGTGTGTTGCGTTTGTGTTTTCTATTGTGATTGTGTTTGTGTTGTGTTTGTGTTGTGTTTGTGTTTGTGTTTGTGTTTGTGTTTGTGTTTGTGTTGTGTTTGTGTTTTGTTTATGTTGTGTTTGTGTTGTGTTGTGTTTGTGTTGTGTTTTTGTTTTGTTTGTGTTGTGTTGTGTTGTGTTTGTGTTGTGTTTGTGTTGTGTTTGTGTTGTATTTGTGTTGTGTTTGTGTTGTGTTTGTGTTGTGTTTGTGTTGAGTTTGTGTTGTGTTTGTATTGAGTTTGTGTTGTGTTTGTGTTGTGTTTGTGTTGTGTTTAGATTTGTCTTGTACCCAAGTTGGTACATTTGAAAAAGATTTACTGTGGCGCAGCACTGGTATGCAGCTAGTATATATATATATATATATATATATATATATATATATATATATATATATATATATATATATAAGCCGGCTGGTAATGTGTCAGTCTTTCCTTCTTTTCGTCATCAATAAAAAACCTAGAAACTTTAAAGTAGACACCTTATACCTTGCATTTCACTTGCGTCGCTTTGTCTTATTCCAAATGTTACAGTAGGTTCTATTTATGTAACGACTTAAATTTTTTGATAGCCAGCAAAGTTTTTTTCGCATTCGTCTACAAAAGAACATGAAGAAAATATTAAATACACGCATATTTCTGAAACATTTTAAACAGAACAATGCAAATGATATTTTCGCTTAGATTCACAGAAAAAAATGGATTTATTTTAATTACAATAGAGTCGAATAAAGCTAATTAATTAAAATGTTTAATAATTACAACAGGACAGGTAATTTAATAAGAAATTTAACTCACGCTAAACATTGCTGTTTAAGTAAAAAAAAGTTTTATTCCTACCGCATTGATTATTATATATGTTAAGGCTCATAATTAAAATAGATTTATGTGAAGATCATTTAAACATTTTTTCCTGATTAGTCATAAGAGAGTTTTATAGTTTTTTTTCTATGATCTTTTAAAATACCTTTTTCGGTTTTAAATTTAAAGTCATGGTTTAATGGGAGAATGTGGAAAAGGCTCTCTTTGGGGGCGGACGCCCGGGAAATAGTGTTGTTCGGCGGTGGTTCTAATTACATCGCATTTGTGTTTGTCTTTGTGTGGCGTTTGTGTATTTTTAAAAATAAATTTAAGACAAAAAACTTGTCACTAATATTATTTTTTATAGTTTGAACTAGTATAAATGCTTTTCTTAAAGTGTAAGGGAGGACAAGTAAGACATACCACGCCCATGTGAAGTCAAGTAAAACGTGACACGACCATGTGAGTTTAAGTAAGAGAACATGCCCATGGGAGGTCAAGTGCAACAACACGCCCAAATGGGGGGGGGGGGGGTCAAGTAAGACAGAACACTCCCTCGATTGGTGTTAAGAAACCCTATCCGCCATGATTGGGTAGGAATAAGTTGCGCTCGTCCAGTGTCTATCTTAGGGATAGCGAACGTATCATATAACAAAAATATGACTTGTTTTTTCACCTACAACTAAATTCTTGTTTAACACTACCAAACTTTTACACACGCTGCAATTTCTCATATTGTAATTATTCTAGGCGCTAGGTTGATAGTGCTGTCTATTTTCTCTAAACTAAAACCAAAACCTAAATCACCAACTTAATTCAATTTAACCGGAAACGAAAAATGACATTGAAAACGGATTTTTATCCAGAATCGGTACTTTAGTTTATACAAAATATAGTCATAGGCATATCCCTGAACCATGCACCTAATCTCATTCATGACAAAAGGCGCATTTAGAGTTTCTTTCAGGCAACTCTACTTGGGAGGAGGCCCCCTCCCCACCACACAAACACCCCGAAACATGTCTACCGTCCCATTCAACGAAATATAATTATATACTTTTTCCAGTGTCCGCCCCCTTCCAGAAAATTCTACCCCCGCTCCCAAAAAAATTCAAGTACCACCACCCCTCGCCGGGGAGAAAAAGTCTGAAAGAAACACTGGTCGCATTTGTAGATCATACAAACTAAAGGAAGAGATGCATGAAAAAAAAACTATGCACGCTAAACACTTTTTAGATTAGAAAAAGTTTCCCCCTCCGGAGAAGAAAAAGTCTGAAAGAAACACTGATGTCGCGCTTAGCCACTACCCGAAGATTTGCATGAAAGAAACTGCAAGCAAACCACTTTTTAGATTAGGCGGTAATTTTATTATAGAGTATCGATGAAGAAATTTCTTTTGAGTTGGGCGGGGGGGGGGGGGGGGGGGGGGCTTAGACGTTCTTTCGCGAATTATAGATTAAATAAATTTAGACTTAAAAGATGTTTGTAATTTTTCAAAAATGTTTGGAAGTTCTCTTCATTTTCGATATAATTTCTAGTTGTATCAGCCAAAAATATACAGTAGGGCCTTGTGTCGAAATAAAAGAATAAATAATAGCAAACCAGTTTTGTTATAATGTTCATCCAAAATCCATTTTTAATTGAGACCTCTAGAACGTTCTTCCCGGCTGTATCAAAGTTGAGTTAAATAGATTTGTCCATGTGCATTTTAAAAAAATCTGATTTGTGAAAATACAATGTACTCTAAAGCTGTTAACAGCTTAACCATCCACCACCTAATTTAAAACAAATTATTTTTTCGACGCAACGATTTAAAAAAAAAACATCAGATAAGTGCTTTATGTGTGGGAAAATGATCCGTTTACGAAATATCCGGGTTAGCGAAATATCCGGAAAGCGAACAGGAACAAATGAATAGACCACGTATTTTCATGATCGAGCTGGATGTTTTCTAATGTTTTTAACATGATACGAGTTTTTTTTTTGGGTGGTGGTGGGGGGAGGGGGGGATGAAGGAGGTGTGCATTTACCATGGGGATGGGTTTGTGGTGTAGGTGGGGTAATTAAAGGGGTATAGGGAGGTGTTTTTTATCTGGCTGGGGGTAGTGGGACTCATAGTAATTAACGGGGGACACTGGCGTAGCTATCGTAAAGCTACCGTAAAACTAGCGTAAGCAAGGCATAAGGGCCCTACACATTTAGGGCCCTTTTCATTTTTTTTTTAATTTAAAATACTTACATTGGAATATTAATTTGTTTTATAAAAAATAATTTAAAAAAAGAAAAAAAGAAAATCCAGTTTCTTTTCTACTGTAGAAATAGGTAGGTGACTGACACCAGTAGAACAATAGTTGAACATTTAATTTGTTATCTATGCTGTGTGATATGTTTAATGGGTTATTTTTCTATTCCTATTAAAAGTTTTGTGATATGTGTCTAAAATCAATGTATTTATCTATTGTAAATAAATAGAGGTTTAAAAATGTGAGAGACAAAAATGGAACATGAATAATGGAAACCATAAGCAATAAAAAAGCGATCATCAGATAAATAAACCTGGTTGGCTAGCCACATGTTGACACTTTCTTGTCAGCTTAAAGTTTTAAAACAAAAATTCATTTTAATCATTTTGATCATTAATGTTATATAGATATGAAATATATATATATATATATATATATATATATATATATATATATATATATATATATATATATATATATATATATATATATATATATATATATATATATATATATATATGTGATATAAATGCGATATATGTTTTATATATATATATATATATATATATATATATATATATATATATATATATATATATATATATATATATATATATATATATATATATATATATATATATATATATATATATATATATATATATATATATATATATATATATATATATATATATATATATATATATATATATATATATATATATAACATCCAACCTAGCGACGCAACTGCGCATTTAGTTGTGTAGACATATCAGTTGTGTAAACAATCTGACTGTAGGTGTCAATCCTTTATTTACAAATTATTTCATATCCGTCTCTGATTTCTGGGTAGGCCAAAAACATCCGGTTCTAACGTATATAACAAGCGCTTGGAACTAGTCCGTAAAATAACCCGAATTAACATTTTAAAATGTTCGTAAAATTTTGTTTCGTTTTCTGCCTGTTCTCAGTTTTTCAAACCATCTGTGCAGCTAGCCCTATCGGTACGTTGATCAACTTTATATTCATGTTTTTTAGGCCTGGTTTTGAAATTACGTTGTATAATTGTTTTAATAATATTTTTTGTTAATATGCAATTAGGCATTTAGTTGCAAAGTCCTCAACTGAAAAACGCAACTTAATTGATAAATGGATGTTTTGAAGAAATAGTTTTAGCAGGGTTGGAACTCAGGTTTCGATCTTTTCAGTGTCACAGTTTGTTACACTGTATTACGATAAGACTAAGTTACATACTTTCGATATCTGGGGATATTCGCTTTCAGAATAAAATTTAAATAGGTACAACACAGAACAATTTTTATGTTTTCACTTGTTAAACTTTAATTCTGCAAGCAATGACAACAATAGTATTTGTCTTTGGTGAATATTTACATTTTTTTTCTGGCCACAACAAACTTGTCGTTAATTTATGTTTTGTTCCTCTGTCTGAAAGGTTATGTAAACAACAAAACAGTGCATGCAGCTCTGGAACTGTTCTTCCCTACGGCACCAGACACGTGCCGGGATGTGGTCAGTTCTTCACCCAGACCAGTGGTCATCCTGTCAAGTGGACTTGAGGTGATGTGTGACACACAGACAGACGGGGGAGGATGGACGGTGATACAGAGAAGATTCAACGGACAAACAGATTTCTATCGGGGGTGGGAGGAATACAAGTATGGGTTCGGAGATGTGGATGTCGGAGAATTTTGGTTGGGCAACGAGAACATTCATCGTCTGACCTCACAAAGAAGATACGAGCTAAGGGTCGATTTTAAATTTAACAACACGGACTACTTCGCTAAATATTCCAGGTTTCGTGTATATGGAGAATCGGAAGGTTATAGGCTAAAGGTCAGCGGTTACTCAGGTAACGCCGGGGATTCTCTGATAAGCACACACAACGATCAGAAGTTCAGCACGTTTGATAAAGATAACGATGCTGGTCCTGGAAACTGCGCGGTAGATAATCAAGGCGCCTGGTGGTACAAATATTGTCACAAGTCCAATTTGAATGGACTTTGGGGAAGTACCATACGCGCCAGCGGTGTAATCTGGTGGGATACAACCACATTAGCATCAGCATCCTTTACTGAAATAAAAATAAGACCGGTTTAGCAATTTAATTATTTATTTATTATTTGTCAATAAATAACCACCAGTTGATTTCGTATTTCCTTTGACTTATAAATGTTCTAATGTTTTTTATATTACAATATTGAATAATATTTACTTATCAAAACTCTTATTTAATGCGAAATATGTTAAAACAATTTTTATCAAAAAGATCCTAATAACTACTTGAAACCAACATTCACCGTATGACGACACAAAGAAGATACGATCAAAGGGTCGATTTCAAATTTAACAACATCGACGAGAACATTCACAGTCTGACGTCACAAAGACGGTACGAGCTGAGGGTCGATTTTAAATTTAACAACACGGACTACTTCGCTAAATATTCAAGGTTTCGCGTGTACGGAGAATCGGAAGGTTATAGGTTAAAGGTCAGCGGTTACTCAGGTAACGCTGGGGATTCTCTGATAAACGTACACAACAACCAGAAATTCAGCACGTTCGACAAGGACAACGACATCCATATCAGCAACTGCGCGGAGCTCTTCCACGGCGCCTGGTGGTACGGAGGATGTCACAGCTCAAATCTGAACGGACTGTGGGGAAACACCGAGTACGCCAAGGGACTTACCTGGGTCACAACGACAAATTACTACGCGAGTGCGACGTCCACGGAGCTGAAGATTAGACCGATTTAGTTAGAAAAAATGTCGAAGAGCTTATACATTATATTTGTAGTTTAGCAGAGTTTATACAACACATATGTAATAAAATATTAATATAGCAGCCTTATTACAGGAAGCTTTATTTCAAAATGCTACAATCACAATTTGATTTTTATCAACGTAATCACTCTGTCTATGTATGCTTATTAATATTTTATGTAAAGAAACGCAATGTAAAAAAAAATAATGTACTTGTTTTGTTTTTAAATGCACGGTCTTAATTTACTTGCATTTCAAAACAAAATGAAATTATTTTCTTTCAGGCCGTACAAAAATACAAAATATAAGTTATTTCCTATTGTCTAGCGTAGGTACTTGATACAGAAGAGGTACACATACATATAACCTACACATTCTCATTGCAGCCAGTGGCGGAACTAGAATAAAAAGGGCCACCCCGCATAAAAATGTTTTAGCCCCCCCCCTATATATATAAATAAATAAATAAATAAATAAATAAATAAATAAATAAATAAATAAATAAATAAATAAATAAATAAATAAATAAATAAATAAATAAATATATATATATATATATATATATATATATATATATATATATATATATATATATATATATATATATATATATATATATATATATACAAACACAAAATACGAACATAGGATACTCATTGCTGGCCTGTTCGGGTTTTGGAAAAAAAGTTTTTTTTTTCCAATTAAAACAAATTACATCAACTTGTCATGTGTGTGAGCGCATTAGTCTATTTGGAAAATCAGTCTTTTTTTTATTTTTGCTATCAGACCTTTTCACCTAAAGTCGGTCAAAAGTATATAAACCGTGAAAGCTTTGTATAAATAATGGTGTCTCGTGTTATGTTTATTTTTATTTTTTTCCTATTTATATTATTAATTTATTTTTAAAACATTTCCTTTTCATACAATGTCATTCTTTAGTAAGTACTTTATAAAAAATAATAATAAGGAGAAGTAATTGTTTTTTAATTTGTTTAGTACAAATCTATTAAAAGGATCGTATGAGCACCCCCCATTGACAATTTAAAGAAGGGAAATAAGTCATGAAAGTAGTTTGAACGTTTGCTTATCTTTGATAAGTTTTATTATAGGAGAAAGAGGACTCGGCTTTCACAGTGGTTTAAAAACAAAGAGAAAAAGAATATACAAGAGCATGAGAAGATGTCTATAGAATAAAGATAATCCAACCGCAGCTACGGTGATCTTTTTACAAAACAACCATCAAGTCAAAAAATGAAAGAAAATAAAAAAAACAATTTAACTATAAAACATTTATTATGGTCGGCTGTGGGCCCCTAAATGACGTGTGTCCCCCCCCCCGCATTGCGGGGTCTGGCGGCACTGTAGTTCCGCCCCTGATTGCAGCGTGCACCAATAGAGTCCTTGCAAACACGTGACCTAAATCACGTGATACCTACGCCCGCCGCCACAGTGGTGTACATCAGACGTAAACACAATCAGCTGTTCGCCAGCGCTGGACGTGTTCACCGTATGTAAAGAATCGCGCCCGCGGAAAAGGAAAAATATGTTAAAAAACTTGAACTCTTAGGAATTGAAGATCCTTATACAGTTATTGACAGTTTCGTGGATAATATAAATATGTGGCCGAAATTTCTAAATAAAAATACTGTTAGTAATACCGTTTGCGTTTAGAGTTTAAGTAGACGAAACAGATCAAATGCTGTAATATATTATAGGTTATCTACTGTAGCAAACGTGAGACCACTTAACTCCTACAAAACCCACACTACAACGGCTAATATAATCCATGGGTAATAACCAATCTGGGTATAATAACCAATCTGGGTAGCATGTTATACAATTTAAGACCCTTATAATCCAGCAGGGAAGTAATCAGACACATTAATACTGACGTTCAACCCTCATGATGGCTGCCCCCACCTGTATCTAGCCCACAATAAAACCAAAGAGGAGTCTGCCCTGCCCTCCCCTGAAAATGTCTCACCTCCGTGATACCCAGCCCCACAGAGATAGTATTTCTTATATAATTTTGACCCTCAGGGCCCAGCAGGGAGAACAAAGGAGAAAGTCCCACTGCTCTCCCCTCAACATTTCTCACCTCGATGTCATGTTATGTCATTTATAGCACACATGGCTTATCAGGGGAAAGCATTAAGAATCTTAACTCTGGACAGCTACACACTAGTATACTAGCTACACACTAGGTGCCTACTGTAAACTACTAGACTGTAGGCCCTATGTAGACCTGCAATTGTATCAATTGTAGACTGGGTCCATTGTTATTATTCTAAACCATCTCACTTATAATGTTTCTAGCTTGATTTGTTTCTTTTATAAACAGTGGATTTAAAAAAAAATTAGCCTAATCATTAACCAAATAATAATAATGTGGTTATTTGTTGTTGGCTGGTATGATCTAGATTGTACTACTAGGCTACAAAAACTTAGTAGACCAATTACTAGATATGAATTTGAATTTAATTAAACTCAGTCCAGTATCAGATACATATTGCTGTAAAAAGAAAACAAAGTAGGTAGGCCTTAGTAATTTATTAAAGCCTAACTACAATAATATCAACTACATGCTTGTATAAAGTTTTTACAATTTAATTTAAGTAGCAGATTCTAGATCTAAGTCTAGTCATACAATCTATTTCAATTTCAGAAAATTTCGTTTGCTAAAAAAATAATTAGATAATAGAGCGAGATTTTAGATCTTAGAGACAATTAAATGCTTTATTAGGCCTATTATGACTACTTTTGATTTATTATGGGTGTATTTTGAATCGAATGTAGATCTAAAGTAATTAAATTTAAGTAAAGAAGTAGATGCTAGATTCTATGTCTATGTCTACCCAGCGGAGCCAGGTATTAGGCCTACTATTAGATCTTATTATTCTTATTATTACTTTTGACTTTGTTTTTTACTATTAGTATTTGTGAAGGTCGAGCATATTTGTTTTATTAATAGTTATCTTTTATAATTAAAATGAAGTTTATTATTTTACTGTCCTTACCTGAAACAAAGTATCGAGAACTGCATTTGATCAGATTCGTCTACTTTAACTCTAAACGCAAACAGTATTACTAACAGTATTTTTATTTAGAAATTTTGTCCACATATTTATATTATCTACGAAACTGTCAATAACAGTATAAGGATCTTCAATTCCTACAAGTTTTTTAACGTATTTTTCCTTTTCCGCGAGTGCGGTTCTTTACATACAGTGAACGCGTCCAGCGCTGGTGAACACGTCCAGCGCTGGCGAACAGCTGATTGTGTTTACGTCTGGTGTACACCACTGTGGCGGCGGGCGTAGGTATCACGAACGGACGTGACGTCATATGAAAGGACTCTATAGTGAAACACGATCTCAAAACCTGAACTATAAAATCAAACTCGTCTTCTCACAGCCTTAAACCAAACATTGAATAAATGTATACTTTACAATGATACTGATTGATGACATGCCTACTGATGTATGTTAAGTTACGCATAAAATGCCATCGGGCAGGCAAACACAAGATTGCTAACCCAAATTGACCCGAGTTCTCGAGTCTTCAGGCAGATGTGGCTCGGCTGTTGGGGACTGCAAGAGAAAACTCTGAAATATAAAAAGAGTAGAGCCCCTTAGCCCATGTGACTTACTTTCGGAAGTTTCTGTGACACTGCTGATTCCAAGCTGTAGCGGCAGGCTCTGTCCCTTGGGTCAATTAGCTGTGTGGGGAGAGGGAGGGGGGGGGGGGCTGATACAAGGGGCAACACCTGGCTCTTCTAATCTCATGGCCCAGGCTTTCCGAATTTCTTCCCGAACTAACTGGAATTTATATAGAAAATATAGTCCATACTTTTACCAGTGTCCGCCCCCACCCCCCGGAAAATTTAGTCCGCCCTCCCCCGTAAATATTGTGACCCCGACCTCCCCCCCCCCCCGGAGATAAAAATCTGAAAGAAACACTGCAGGCTAAGTGCTTGGACTTCCAAAAAAACGATCATCCAATTGACGATTAGACTATGGAGACATTTTTAAAATGCTGTCCAGATTATGATTACATTTATCTCATCGTGGATTACTTTTTTAAAGTATACAAAATGCTTTTGTTTATTTATATATTAATGGAAAATGTATAATGCTGCAATAATACCACAGTACAACCGTGTTTAAATCAATTATTTAATTAAACATATACAATATTGACTAGCATGTGTTGAGAAATTTTTTTTTATCTTGTGTTTTCGTGTCGTTGTGAATATATGTTTCACAGTCCTATGACCAGTAACAATTTTGGGGGAGGAGGTGGGGGGAAGAAAATTCCGGGTCGCTGCTATTGACGTTTAGTACATATTTTTATTTTCTGTCAAGCTCTTTTTTTTCTTCTGAAAAACACATCGAGGTCAAGAATTATTATTTAAGATCAGTGTTTCATCCAGAGTTTTTTTCTCCGGGGGGGGGGGGGGCACTTGATATTTTCGGGGGGGGGGGGGGCGGTCAACATTTTTCGGGGGGGGGGGGGCGGAATGCTTGGAAGAAACTCTGATTATTATGATACCCTAGTTTCTCTCCGAACCGACGACGCGACACCTCGAAACAACACGAACACAAAGAGAACCGTGTCTCGCGTCATATCCTGGTTCACGCGTCTCACAAGTTAACGGGTTAAAATAAAAAAATATCAGACCGGCAATCTCAAACAACATGCGCATTAAAACCTCCGGGGTTGATGTAGTACATGTGGTAGAGATAAACTCGAGTACATAGTAGCTTACCGTATCGATACACGTCATCTGCGTTCTTACCTGACATCCTGTGGGCGTGTTATGTCTTACCTGACGTCTAATGCACGTATTTTCTTACCTGACCTACCATGTGCGTTTTGTCTTACTTAACCTCCCATGGGTGTGTTATATTTCACCTAAATTCCCATGGGTGTGTTATGTCATTCCTGACCACCCATGGGTGTGTTATGTCTTACCTTACCTCGAATGCACGTATTTTCTTACCTAACCCCCCTTGGACGTGTTATATCTTACCTAACCTCCCATAGGTGTGTTATGTGTTACCTGACCTCAAATGGGTGTGTTATGTCTTTCATAACCTCCCGTATATGTTGATTGACCTCCAGTGGGTATTATGTCTTACCTGACTTCTCATAGTTTTTATGATTTCACGTTCCTAAAGGCGTTCTCATAAATAATATTCCGCGTGACACAATGTTACATATAGGCCTATGTGAAATTTCGTCTATATAACTAAAGCAGTACTTGAGTTATAGGCTTTGAAAAACCGAAAGCAGAATAAGTTCCACTTCCGGTTACCGGAAATCGCTGGAAAATTAATACAGATCTACAAATTTAATCTAATAGTTATAAATGAAATTTTGTCAAACTAGCTGTAACGGTACTCAAGTTATCGTGTTCACAGACACACACACATACACATACATAAACACAGTAAGTCGAGATTTATGAAAATATCGATTTCGATTTCTTTCGCACAATTACAATACTTAAAAAACCAACCAATTAATTAAGTTAACTAATGTAGATTGAAATTATTTTTCCCCCGCGAAACGTCAATGATCGAATAATTTAAAATTTTTAATGGATACAATCTTAAACAATATAGTACGGGTTATTTCGGAGGATACGAAGGTTTTGTTTTAAGAACACAAATGAAACAAACACTTTGGCTCAGAAACACTTTGGCTTACTAACAAACACGTTGGCTCAGCAACAAACACTTTGGCTCAGCTCAGCAACAAACACTTTGGCTTAGCAACGAACACTTTGGCTTAGCAACGAACACTTTGGCTTAGCAACAAACACGTTGGCTCAGCAACAAACACTTTGGCTCAGGTCAAAAACAAACACTTTGGCTCAGGTCAACAACAAACACTTTGGCTCAAGACAACAACAAACACTTTGGCTCAGGTCAACAACAAACACGTTGGCTCAGGTCAACAACAAACACTTTGGCTCAGCTCAGCAACAAACACTTTGGCTTAGCAACGAACACTTTGGCTTAGCAACAAACACGTTGGCTCAGCAACAAACACTTTGGCTCAGGTCAAAAACAAACACTTTGGCTCAGGTCAACAACAAACACGTTGGCTCAAGACAACAACAAACACGTTGGCTCAGGTCAACAACAAACACTTTGGCTCAGGTCAACAACAAACACTTTGGCTCAGGTCAACAACAAACACGTTGGCTCAGCAACAAACACTTTGGCTCAGGACAACAACAAACACTTTGGCTCAGGACAACAACAAACACTTTGGCTCAGCAACAAACACTTTGGCTCAGGTCAACAACAAACACTTTGGCTCAGGTCAACAACAAACACTTTGGCTCAGGACAACAACAAACACTTTGGCTCAGGTCAACAACAAACACTTTGGCTCAGGACAACAACAAACACTTTGGCTCAGGTCAACAACAAACACTTTGGCTCAGGTCAACAACAAACACTTTGGCTCAGGTCAACAACAAACACGTTGGCTCAGGTCAACAACAAACACTTTGGCTCAGGTCAACAACAAACACGTTGGCTCAGGTCAACAACAAACACTTTGGCTCAGGTCAACAACAAACACTTTGGCTCAGGTCAACAACAAACACGTTGGCTCAGCAACAAACACTTTGGCTCAGGACAACAACAAACACTTTGGCTCAGGTCAACAACAAACACTTTGGCTCAGGTCAACAACAAACACGTTGGCTCAGCAACAAACACTTTGGCTCAATTACAACAACAAACACTTTGGCTCAGCAACAAACACTTTGGCTCAGGTCAACAACAAACACTTTGGCTCAGGTCAACAACAAACACGTTGGCTCAGGTCAACAACAAACACGTTGGCTCAGCAACAAACACTTTGGCTCAGGAAAACAGCAAACACTTTGGCTCAGGTCAACAACAAACACTTTGGCTCAGGACAACAACAAACACTTTGGCTCAGGACAACAACAAACACTTTGACTCAGGACAACAACAAACACTTTGGCTCAGGTCAACAACAAACACTTTGGCTCAGGTCAAAAACAAACACTTTGGCTCAGCAACAAACACGTTGGCTCAGGTACAAAACAAACACTTTGGCTCAGGTAAAAAACAAACACTTTGGCTCAGGTCAACAACAAACACTTTGGCTCAGGTCAACAACAAACACGTTGGCTCAGGACAACAACAAACACGTTGGCTCAGGTCAACAACAAACACTTTGGCTCAGGACAACAACAAACACTTTGGCTCAGGACAACAATAAACACGTTGGCTCAGGTAAAAAACAAACACCTTGGCTCAGGTCAAAAACAAACACTTTGGCTCAGGTCAACAACAAACACTTTGGCTCAGGTAAAAAACAAACTCTTTGGCTCAGGTCAAACACTTTGGCTCAGCAACAAACTCTTTGGCTCAGGTCAAACACTTTGGCTCAGCAACAAACTCTTTGGCTCAGGTCAAACACTTTGGCTCAGCAACAAACACTTTGGCTCAGCAACAAACACTTTGGCTAAGTAACAAATAAAGTACTAGTAACGAATACACAGTCCCTTCTAACGTATTATCGTACTCAAAACCCTTATGTGAATACTTTTTTTTAAATCAATATGGTATTCTTGCTAGACTACATGGAATTTGTTTCTCGCCCATTAATAAATTTTACAAATTTAGTAAAAAGAACGTCGTGTTCATATCTAGATTCAAAGCAAAATTATTATACTTTTCTCATAATATCCTTTCAACATTTCCATAATTTAAACTTTTTATCTCGTCAAAGTCTGACTACTGGTATAAAGACACTCTTACTTAGACTTACCATAGACAAATCATCCTATCTAGATCTATAGAAAGTAAGTTTTTTTCTGTAAATTACAAAGGAAAAATTTTACTAGACACGCTAAGGTTTATTTTCTAAGAAATAATCTTATCTATACGTGATAAGGATTTCAGTAACTTAAAACAAAATGTTTACTAGACCTAGATTCACAAGCCAATGATTTAGCCAATCGTTTCGTTGTGTAAACATATCCAATTTTTATTATCTAAACATGACGTCAGTTTTTTTAGTAGTGCACATCCGCATATTTTTCTGGGTTGCAAGACACATCCGGGATTTACGTATATAACGTGAAGTTAGTCCGCCAATACAACATTCCGTGATCCTATCAGCTACTGGCAAATTGAAAATGTACTACCAGATTTGTTTCATTTGTTGTCTTGTCACAGTTTTTCAAAACATTCATGCAGACGATTCCTATGGTATGTATTTCTCGATTGAATATTATTTTAGTTTAACACATTCAGAAATATCCTAGTCTGCTTGCTTTTAAGCAGATGATCTAAAAAATGAAAATTTTTAATTTATTTCTTAATGTGGTTTGTATTTTTGTGGAGAAATCTTGAAAGATTTTTTCTTTATATATATATATATATATATATATATATATATATATATATATATATATATATATATATATATATATATAATGTGAAATATAAGTCACTGCCAGGTTTTCTTGAAATGCTTCGGCTTGGTCAGCAACCCATCTAGGAGAGAAAATTTCAAAATTAAACAATTTCTGCCTCGTAATTGTTTTTTGGTGAGACAAGATAAGTTAAATAAAAAAAAAAGCTAGCTGAAATTGGAGTCAACAGCCTATATGGTACAGGTTGACACGTAATACTTAATTGTGTTGGGGGGGGGGTCCCTACCAACATTACAATTAAGTACGAAGAAGAAGTTTGAACTTAAATTTTACCATCCCGACTTGTTTTGTGGCGGTGAAAACTTGCGATTCATATTTCACTCACTTTAACCGAACACATTTAAAAAAAAACAACTTTGTACATTAGATAAGATCCGTTAAAAATGCAATGAAATAATAAAATATTTAATATTTTAAAACAATTCTGTTAAAAGTACTATTAGTGACTCGTTTTGGTTTTCATTTAAAGTGACTGTTCTTTTGTCAAGCGATTTTTAAACACTAAAACTAACTATCTGCAAGCGGAATAAAAATTATAACATCTATAGGGCTGGTAAGTAGGTCAATAAACAGTTCTACGGCTCAATAAAACCTGCATGAGCCATAGAACTGTTTATTGACCTACTTACCGACCCTATCGGTAGCCTACATCCGCTTTAATTTAATGTTAAATCCGAACTGTCTACTGACGTTCGGTAACATCCTGGTGTGGACCTCATGGATAAATAAACACTGCGTACAACCTAAAGTGTAGTGTTTATTGTTATCACAAGCGCCAAAATGGACATTTAAACAAAATCACGAATTGCTAACAAAAGTATAGAAATCACAATTAAAAAATAAAAAAATAAAAAAAATATATAAGTAAGGGAGAAATATTTTGATCTATATAAAAATTAACAATAACATTATTTGGGATTTATTTTTATTTTTTACAAAACTAGATTTGCAATTGCATGCAATGTTTACATATTTTAAAGAAAATGTTCATTTTTACTGTTAGAAAAACAGTTGTGATTTTTTAATTTTTGTTAATTGAAAATCCAACTTGTTTAATTAAATTAAATAAAAAAATTTAAGAAGAAGGTAATAATTGCGTTTAAATGTGACTTAAATTCTGTATGATTTTACTAATTCTTCCTTCTTTAAAGCAAACGTATAAAAATCTACTGTCTTTAAAACTATTCTTATATTTTTTCAGGATATACCAACAACAAAACAGTGCAGGCTACTCTAGCTTTGTCCTGCCCAACTGCACCAGACACATGCAGGGATGTGGTCAGTTCTTCACCCAGACCAGTGGTCATCCTGTCAAGTGGACTTGAGGTGATGTGTGACACACAGACAGACGGGGGAGGATGGACGGTGATACAGAGAAGATTCAACGGACAAACAGATTTCTATCGGGGGTGGGAGGAATACAAGTATGGGTTTGGAGATGTGGATGTCGGAGAATTTTGGCTGGGCAACGACAACATTCACCGTCTGACGTCACAAAGACGATACGAGCTGAGGGTCGATTTTAAATTTAACAACACGGACTACTTCGCTAAATATTCCAGGTTTCGGGTGTACGGAGAGGTGGAAGGGTATAGGTTAAAGGTCAGCGGTTACTCAGGCAACGCGGGAGATGCACTGACAGCTAGACACAACAACATGAAGTTCACAACGTTCGACAAGGACAACGACATTTACACCGGAAACTGCGCTGAGCTGTACCACGGCGCCTGGTGGTACGACACATGTCACGTCTCAAATCTCAACGGTCTTTATGGCAACACGGAGTACGCCAAGGGACTGACCTGGTACCCTACCACAAATTACTACGCGTCGGCGACTTTCACTGAGATGAAAATAAGACCAATTTAAGAAGCAATAATTTAAAAAATAAATAAAAGATGTTTATAGAATAAAATGTTAAAAAAATTATTTACCTAATGTACTAATACCAATACTTTTTTTTACAATACTTGTGTTTCATTATCTTGAAAAAATCCAATGCAATTGTCCTGTCCCACCTTAAATGTTACCGTATCTAAACTGACGATCAATAATGTAGCAGAAGTAGTCCTCACGTTTTTTTTACTTTTAACATACGAGGGTATGGCGTGGGTACTTTGTTTTTCTAGCCGCCTTTCATTCTTATTGTCAGGTACTTATGTTAGCTTGGTTGGGCTTTTAAAGTTCCAGGGGCTTAGTTATTTTCGTTAGTACCTAAGACTAAGTCTAGTTTTTTCTCTAGATCTAGATTTTTAGATCTAGAATCCAAATAGATAAAGTAAATTTTATAAGTTTAGGTCAAGAAAATTGTATTGTATACATTTCATAGCGTAAGTAGACCTAAATCAAATTTGAATTAAATAGTTCATGTCTTTATATTCTAAAATCGTTTTGTGTTCATTCCTCCGTGTAAACATTTGTGACATCATTGGTAATCGCGTTCTTGTCACAACTATAAAGACTTTTTCCGGTTGCATTATTAAAAATGTTTTTTCTACATTTGAATTCGCCTCTATTTTTTATTTTTCTTCTTTAAATAAAATTTTATTTAAACATTTAAAACATCTTTTATTTTGAAAAAAAAGTCCGTATCAAGTTCTCTATATATCGCTGCAGACACTGATATGATAGCCTGTGAAAAATATTTTACGGACAGAGAGAGAGAGAGAGAATTGCGCACATGGGCTTTTATATATTAACATTATATATATATATATATATATATATATATATATATATATATATATATATATATATATATATATATATATATATATATATATATATATATATATACAAAGGATGTCTTGGGAGATGTCAAAATTAATAGCCGAGGATAGGAAGAAATGGAAGGAAATGGTGGAGGCCCTATGCTCCATAAGGAGCAAAGAGGACTAAGAAGAATACAAAGCACCGTATCACTGGAAGTAGAGTATTGCCCCGTTTAATTACCCCTGTCCATTAATCCCCAACCCAACATGTGCACTAGGAGATTAACCCTGTTGATATAGTTAGAATAAGTAAGGCTTAGTTTTCGGGGTTAAGGGGATATTCTCCGTTTTTTACTTTCTCGTATATACGAAGTATAGAGAAAGTATTGTAATCGTGCAAAAAAAAATCGAGATTTTTACAAATCTCGACGTTTTACACCTCACTGATACGGAAAAACATAATTTTGCAATCTTGTCCGTATGTCTGTGTGTCTGTCTGTGTGTCTGTCTGTGTGTCTGTCTGTGTGTAAACACGATAACTTCAGTACCGTTACAGCTAGGTTGATGAAATTTCATATATAAGTATTTTATTAAAATCGTAGATCCTGTTCAACTTTTGAGCGATTTCCGATAACCGGAAGTGGTACTTTTTCTACTTTGAATTTTTCAAAAGCCTATAACTTGAGTACTATTTGAGATAGATAAATGAAATTTCACATGTAAGTAAAATATTTAAATCTCTACCTTCTCTCAAATTTTGAGTAATTTCCGTTGACCGCAAGTACTAATTTACGCTATTTCCGATTTCTCATTTAAATTTATAAAGAACTGATAATATTGCGCACTATTATGCCCATTCATTTGGCGTTTACTTGGTATGAAATTCTTTTTTCTACGAGATTTTATTCTATTTTAAAAACTTTAAGTATTTAAAATGGAGTTCCCATCCCCTGTTGTTTTATATAAGAATATTCGAGAAAGTTTAGGGGAGATCACTCCCGGTTTATTTTTTCTATTTTTAAGAATTTAAGATCCAAAGCAATTTGAATACTTTTACCAAGTTTGGCCATGAAAATATGTATTAAATAGCAAAGAAAAAAAAGGTGTTGAAAACAATTTTGGTTGTCATGGAAATACAGCATATACATGATTTGTTTGTTTATGTGTGTGTGTGCGTGCTTGCATTTCCTGTTAAATAAAAAAATGACACACTTTTTTGTTTATCGCGTCATCATTACTCACAAGCGCCCCCAGAGTATAATTATTTTGTTTGTAGATTTAACGAAATGCTACAGTACTTCCAACTACTTTATGAATTCTTATCTCACTTTAACTGTAAGCTTGTTAGCCAAAGGTCCGTTTAGACATTATTTTTACTTTCTCGTATACGAAGTATAGAGGAAGTCCTGCAAATCCTGCAAAAAAAAAATAAAAAAAAAATACAAGATTTTTCACAAATCTCGACGTTTTACACCTCACGGAGTCGAAAAAAAACTTAGTTTTGCAATTTTGTCTGTGTGTGTTTGTGTATGTATATATGTCTGTGAGCACGATAACTTGAGTATCCTTACAGCTAGGTTGATAAAATTTCATATTAACTTTTCATTAATTTCCGTTAACCAAAAGTGGAACTTTTTCTACTTTTGGTTTTTCAAAAGCCTATGACTTGAGTACTGTATCATATAGATAGACGAAATTTCACATGTAAGTCAAAGATCTAATTTTCTGCCATCTGTCATTATTTCTTCTACGAGATTCTATTATATTTCGAAAAGTTTAAGTAATTAAAAATTGATTAAAAATCATGTGTGAGCGGCTGGAGTGTGTTTATCTGTTATTATAAATATTTGTAACTAAGAAGGCGAATGTCGCTTTTTATGTTCCTTTGAGGATTGTTGTGGTTTTTAGTTAAGTAGTCCGCTATTATGGCGCTGATATGATTTCGATTTTACAATGGTTTGTAGCCTGGTTATTGTGTCTTGTTTATATTTTTTGTATATTTATTTGAATGTCTTACAGGGACTGTAAGTTTTTAAAAAGGGGTGAATGTGAGCGGGTGAATGGATTATTTATTTTGTATTAATTTTATTTGTTGCGAATCTGGGAGTGCATGGTGGTCCAATGGGAAATGGCCACGGGGTCCCCTTCCGTCCGAAGCGGTCAGTATAAATTGACCGTTCGGAGGATTTTCTTCCTTTTTTTTTGACCCGCGGCGAGATGTAGGTCGGGTCAGGTTTCTGCGTGGGCGCGTGGCGCACCTCACGCGTGGAGGTATTTGTTTTTTTATACTTTATCTTTATGTGATTTGTATGAATGCGACTGCCGATGTTTCTCGTTTTCTTTCATTTTCGTCTAAAACGAGATAGTGAGCATCGGCATGTCTGGTATGCACGTGGTGTGTTATTTTGAATTAAAATGTATTTTTAATGTTTTCTAAACCCGTGGCGTGTGTTTCGGACCACGTGGTTTAGGCCAGTGTGTTTAGGAGTGTTTCCTAAACTGGTGTGAATGCGTGTGTGCATTTACCTGATTGTTTTATGATGTGTTATTGACTAGGATTGGCTTAGTCAATAGTCGGTTGTTTTAGACAGTAATTAGATTAGTATATTTTAGTTGCCTCGAGTTTTTAGGTTGTTTAAAATTAATGTGTGTTCTGTTTCGTGCAACGTCATGTTGAGTATCGCTTGCTTTGTGTCTGCCTTCATTGGGGCCTTAGCGGAGTGCGTTAACTTTAATGTTATCAATATGGATATTGTTTATGTAGACCAATGGCTTCGGGCTGCTCCTTGTGTAGGAAAGATTGGTTCCACGATGAATTTGTTTACACGTTATTTTTAAGTTGCTAGTTCTTCTTTAGATATGTGAGCGGCTGGAGTGTGTTTATCTGTGATTATAATTATTTATAACTAAGAAGGCGAATGTCGCTTTTTATGTTCCTTTGAGGATTGTTGTGGTTTTTAGTTAAGTAGTCCGCTATTATGTCGCTGATATGATTTCGATTTTACAATGGTTTGTAGCCTGGTTATTGTGTCTTGTTTATATTTTGTTATTATTTATGCAAACTTTGTTTTGGATTGTTGCTCCACTTTGCTTTATGTCCTGAATGTTACTTATTATTGTATTAGGGACTATTTTCTTGTGCGTAGCATTGGTTTCTTTGTTCGTAGTATTGGTTTCTTTGTTCGTGAATGTGGTGTGTCGACATGGAGGGACATTCTGCTGGAATGTCGAGGCCTGTGTGTTGAAGAGTTTCTGTGTCACGTTTATGTGGTGTATGGACGGTGGTCCGAAATTGGGTGTTTTGTTTCGTTGAGTTCTGTTTTTTTTTGTATGTCTTGAGTGTTTTATTTTATCTAGATTCTAGTTTTGTTTATAATAACTTTTGGTTCCATATTTATTATTTTGTTAAATAAATTTTATATTATTGTTAAAGCTTTTGTCTTATTTTAGTATTTTATTTAGACTAAGGTTAGGTTATTAACCAGTCTGGGTTTATCCGGGCTTGCACTGACCGGACAGTAGTTAGTTAGATAAGCCTAGGGAAGGGTAAGGTAGATTTTAGGTATCCCCCCCTAGCAGGGCTTACAAATTGGTAGCACGAGTGGGGTCAGTGCTTTAGTCTAGTTAAATTTTTGTTTTTCTAGGGCTAGTGTAGCTTAGATAAATTTTTTTCTTGATAGGCCCTTTATGGAACCATTTGTGTTTAGTTTTTGTTTAGTGTAGGAACCGTTTGTTGTTTAAAACACCCAATTCGGACGAGATGGCGGAGGTGGCACCAACCATCATCATCGTTCCACCCAGGGAGATCCTCATCAGGAAGTTTCATGGGGACAGCCATGGCTATGAGGTGGACCGGTTCATCAAAGAGGTCCAGTCCCTCTGGAGGGCCAGGGGAGACCTCTCAGTAGAAGAGAGGAAGGGCCTCCTCTGGCAGTACCTGGGGGAAGCGGTGAGAGAGGAGCTGAGCTGCAGGGGTATTGACCTGCAGCATGACCCAGAAGCCACCCTCAGGCTCCTCAGAGAGGTGTACGGCGAGAAGAGGAGAGTACCGCAGCTCATGGCCCAGTTTCAGATGGTTGTACAGGGCCAACACGAGTCGGTGAGGGCCTACTCGCACCGACTGCACAGGGCCTTCAAGACCCTGGTTACGAGGCAGAGTGCCCTGCAGGTCCCACAGACTGATGCAGGGTTTCTTCGAGACCAGTTTGTGGAAAACCTGAGCCAGGCCACAGTCAGACGCCATCTGCAGGAGCTGATTTTCCGGGACCCTAAGATCCCCTTCCTGGCCATACGGGATGCGGCCATTCGATGGTCTGGAGACGAGGTCCCTCTTGCTGAACCTGCCTATGTGGCAGCAATGAATGCCAGGCCCATTGAAAAATGTTCGTTCAGGTCCAAGCTGGAGGACAAAGTCAACAGGCTCACCGAGCAGCTTGCTGCTCTGCTGAAGCACTTTACGCGGGACACCAAATTGTCCAATGTGCGCCAAGCACCTCGCAAGCGCACGGAGGTCCAATCAAAGGTCTGCTATAACTGTCACCAGAGGGGTCACCTCGCCCGTCATTGCCATATGGCAAAGAAATATGTGCCCAAAGGGAATCAAGTGACACCGAAGGTATGGCGAGGGGACAAGGTCCTACGCCCCCACGAAAGGACTCTGGTGCCTGCCAAGGGTGTACCAACCATTCAGGCGACGGAAGGAGACCCCAGAATGAAGGACGACAAGGTGGTACAGCCATTAGACCAACCTTTTCACTCAGATCCGTCAGTGGTATCAGGCCCAACATCCTGCCTACGCGCCAGCATAACCAGTATAAAGGTGGACCAATCTGAGGAACTAGAGGCAATGGTTCCACCTAACCCATCCTTAATTAAGGCACCGGGTGGTGGTGCTGGGGGATGCCCCCAGACAGAGTCGAGCAAGAAGGACAAGCAGGTCAAAAAGGCACCTGTAGCTGAACTGGCCATAGGCGATCTGGTCCTTCTGAGACAACCCCCACTAGGCAGACGCAAAATGGCAGACCTGGACGACCCGACAGTTTACGTCGTGGTCGAAGTACCTCCGATCACCGGCGGGTGTTACGCCATTAAAAAGAAAGATGGCCCTTCTGGCACCCGCCGGGTGGCCAGCACCCAGATCAGGAGATATGTGCCTCCCCGGGCTCAACCACCCTCCCCAAGGCCGGTCAAAGTGATACCGCCGGCTACTCCAGGCTACAGCCACATAATTTATAAGGTCCAATTGCCGGGGACCAGAGCAGCCGGTAACCCCACAGTACCTGACATACCTCTGCGTAGGTCGGTCAGGGAGCGCAGAGTCCCTAGTAGGCTAGACTTGTGATTGTGCCCTGTGGGCTGATTTTTTTTGACAATGTTTTTTTGTAAAATTTACGATTGTGCCCTGTGGGCTGATTTTTTTGCAAGTTCTTTTGCAAAGTTTTTTGTTTTTTTGTAACATATATGATTATGCCCTGTGGGCTGATTTTCTGGCAAAGATTGTTTTTTTGTAAAATTTATGATTGTGCCCGGTGGGCTTTTTTTGCAAGTTCTTCCTGCAAAGTTTTGTTTTTTTGTTACATTTATGATTATGCCCTGTGGGCTGTTTTTTTCAAGTTTGTTAGCTTGCGGTGACCGCAAGCTTTAAGGGGCGTGTATGTGAGCGGCTGGAGTGTATTTTTATTATTTGTAACTTAGAAGGCGAATGTATCGTTTCGTTTCATGTCGTAAATTGTTCGTCGTTTTAGTTGTGTAGTCCCGTATTATGGCGCCGCTGTCTCACTGTTTATGTTCCTGGTTATAGCTAGTTTATATATATTTCGTTTATATTGTTGTCATTGTTTATATTAAGTGTCTTTTTATAATATTCTGTTGCATGTTTCGTCGTGTTTGGTTTGTTATCCGTGAATTAGGGACTATTTGTTTACGTGTAGTGTGTGAGGTGTGTGGAAGTCGGTTTCCGGCTTGTTCAACTCTGTCTTTTGTGTGGAAAGCAGCGGTGAAGAGAGCAGGCAGTCTCTCTGGTCATCGAGTGAAAAGAATAGCAAATTCGCACCATCCAGCCTTATTTATTTTGTGTGTTTGTGTTCGTCATAGTCCTGGACGAAGTCCGAAATTGGGTGTTTTGTTTGATGTAAAAAGTTTGTTTCGTTTGGTTCTGTTTTGTGTCAGTTTTTACCTATTCTTTTTTTATAACTTTTGGTTCCATATTTTGTTGAATAAATTTTATGCTAGTCATTCTTGGTAAATAAATTTTATTAACTGTAAAAGTTTTTGTTTTATTTTAGTAGCTTATTATTTAGACTAAGGTTAGGGTTTAACCACTGTGGGTTCTACCACGGTTGCACTGACCGGACAGTAGATTAGTTAGTTAAGCCTAGAAGGGTAGATTTTATAGGTATCCCCCCCCCTAGCAGGGCTTACATATATATATATATATATATATATATATATATATATATATATATATATATATGAATTAAAAATAAATAAATGAATAAAAATAAATAAATTGATCAATATATAAATAAATGAAATAAAATAAACAAATACATAAATAAATTGTTACACTCGGCTTTCTAATATTTTTGGCTCGTTTGGGCTAGGTGTAACAATAATAAAAAAAAACAATCCACAAAGTGAATTTGTAACATTGAAGTATAATTTTCACCAATTACAAGAAAAACATTTACTCGAAGAAAAAACTGACGACTGGGTACACTGTGTTGACGCTTCATCACACTGCTTACACACTCCCTCGTTCACACACTTGTTTAAACGCTCGCACACCACTTCCAAGGGGAGGCCACTCTCACACACACTCTATCCATGCCTACACACTTTCGTATAGACATCTACGTCACACACCAAAAAATTATTGATAAATAAATACATATTTGTATGTATATATATTTATTTTGCACAAAGGTTTCCACAATACTTAAAACAATAGAAACGTTTGGTTGAAAGACTATCAGGCATTGGTAAATAATTTTTGATAACAATTGCATTTTAATTTTTTTTAAATTGACCTTACATAGAGTCTGTATATTAAATGTTTTTAAATTGACCTTACATAGAGTCTGTATATTAAATGTTAGTATTGATCTATTATCACACTGAAGCGTTCTAAAACGTCTAAGGTCGTGTCAGGCTTTCATTTTAATTTTTTTTAAAAGGTGGCTCTCTCCTGCCATGTCCTTTAAGGTTAATAAGGTGTGGTAGAAGGGTGGTCTTTTTTCTAATTCCTTATTGTATATAATATTCCATTGTGAAATTGTTTTAGCTTAATACATCTTAAACTAATTTAGTGAAATAAAAATATTTTTTTACTTGAAATAAACATCCGTTTCTTACATCGCATGGTAAATTTAAAATGAGTTAAATGCCGTTATAACGTTAAAGATCCGAAATAATATAGCGGGAGTGATCTCCCCGGTAGTGTTATTTAAGAATATTCGAGAAAGTTTAGGGGAGATCACTCCCGATTTATTTAAAAATCGTGTTAATATCCCGAATCACCATCCTCTGTAGTGTTATATAAGAATATTCGTGAAAGTTTAGGGGAGATCACTCCCGGTTTATTTTTCATTAATGTTACAATTAGCAATTGTTTGCTTTTACTGTGTAAAAAGCAATAAAAAGCAATATAATCTTACTTGATATTTCTCTGATATTTCTTAAATATTTTAATTGTATCGTATGGGATTGTTGCTCACTAGGAGAGGGAAAGTATGTAATAAAAAGTTTTCTGTTTAATGGTTTGACTCTTATTGTAGGTGTACTTGTGTAACAAAATTTACATCGGGGCATAGAAGCTGATGTGAAGATTAATTTTTAGAATCACGCGCTTGTGGTTTTTTTTAGCGTAGCATTATGCAATGCACTTTAATTGTCCTTAAAACATTTGGTAAACAAACAAATATATGTGCATTAACGGTACCATTTGAACATGGCAATATAATATGGCTGGAGTAACGAGTAGCTGATAACAGCTAGTATTTATATATTTTAATTTGCATTTTTCTTTATGAATTGTAATTATCATTTATCTTTCAGGTTATGTTGTGTAACATAAATGGGTGTTTTGTTAGTTTGTTGCGCTATGTTTTGAATGTGCAGTGACCTTACGTTTAGTATCAATTGTATTTATGTGTAACGTATAAGGTTTTCAAATTGTTCAGTGTTTTGTATATCATTTAATAAAATGTGAAAGTTGATTATCTTTTATTTTAGGTTAGGAATAGGAGTTGAACAGCTTGCACTAACATCCAATTTTATGATAGTCCTAAGAGGTAATTTGTAATTATACCCCCATCCCACCCCACTCCAGTCTCATGTTAGGTCTTACATAAACAAGTAACGATCGATTTGACTTAGGAATTTTGATGTGTTCGAACTCACCTATAATTAGAATTTGGAGTGGCAATTATTATGATTCTTTTTACTTCAAGTTGATCGTTAAAGCGAAACATCATTGGCTAAAATCAAAATAAAACAACAATTTAGTATTATGTTTGTATCCATTTGATTTCACTTAGTGATCGTGTATGAGTTCCAAAGTAGTTGTGCTTGTCTTTGTGCGTAGGTGTTAGTTGTGTGTATGTGATGTGTGTGGAGATGCGTTAGTGTATAAAAGTGTACATGTATGTTTGTCTATCGATCCCTCTCTCCATATATATATATATATATATATATATATATATATATATATATATATATATATATATATATATATATATATATTTCTTTAGTGAGTAGAATAGAAATGTATTAGACAAAGCACACAATATTCTGTTTTCTTAAAATTAATTGTCCTGTATTTCATTTTTGTCTATAAATCCCCCTCACCTCCCCTTTTTCTGATGTAACCTCACTAATTATTTCTCTTTTAGGGTGATCTATCTGGTGACTACCGCACATTGATGCTGGCTCTAATCACCCCTCACTAACGGAAGTTTCTCTTGTAGGTTGATGTTTCTGGTGACTACTGTCTCTTGATGCTGGCGCTAATAACTCCTCACTAAACGGCTCTTTCTCTTTTAGGGTGACGTGTCTGGAGACTACCGTATGTTGATGCTGGCTTTAATCACCCCTCATTAATCGATGTCAGGCTGCAAAGAAAATAGATCATCAGAGTCTAGAAGGGTTTTTTTTAATCATTTTGACTGGAGCATTTTCGTTGAAGAATGCCAACACAATTATACAAGTGAACTTTATTTACCAGTTTTTAATCTATATTTTCATATATGCAAATTTCTGAGTTTGTTTAATCCATGCGTAGATTCTGTATGGTAATAAATGTTTCGTTGTTTTAATTATGGTGTCATCAAATTTTTTTTGTAACATTAGATGTAACTTTATTTGGCTATTTTTTTAATTTGCTAACTAATTTTATAATTATATTTTACTTGAGAAAGATAGGGCAGAGATGATAATGATGAATTATGTTTTTGTTGCCTGTAGACATTTTAAAAAATTATTTTTAAAATGATTAAAATTATCATCACAATTATTGTTGGTAGAAATTGGGAAAATTTTTTTTTAACATAGTTATCTACCTTGAACCTTGCAACATATCTTACTTGGCTAGCTGGGTTTAGCAGCTGGAATGATCTAGAATGGCAGGGTCACAAGTGTTAACAATGGTAGAACTTCTTGAAGCCAACCAATGACAGTTGGCTACCAGGGTTTAGCAGCTGGAAGGATCTAGAATGGCAGGGTCACAAGTTTAACAATGGTAGATCTCCTTCAAGCCAACCAATAACAGTTGGCTAAGCTGGGAGTGTTTTTTAATCCAAGATCTCAAGGGAGTTGCAGTGTATTTTATTAGATTGAGTATCCCTCTTCGTTTACAATTTCAAATTATTTCCTGATATTTTCGTATAACTTAACTAACCAACATTTGATGAACAATGCAAAAAAAAAAAAAATCCATTTAATTAAAGTAATGGATAGAAAGCAAGGAAGCGCATACATAATTTTTTTTAAATACAAATTTTGACTAAGGCTTAGTTTTTAAAAATAATTTATTGATATAAGTGAAATCTTCAACAATTGTGATTCTCATCTTTTTACATTTATTTGTTTGTCTATTTTTGCTACAATCACATTTATTCAATGCTTTTGTTCTATTTAATCCAACCATTAGAAGCTCAATGTGTGCTCAAATGTTCTACTCCATGTCAACTATACTATTCTCCTACACGGTCTTCAGATAATGTTTTCCTTTATACTTATTTGTACTGTATGTTAAATTAAATTAATCATATAATAACCCTTTTAAAAATTAATGTTGTATATGCTATATAATATCAGATATATTCAATACTTTTTCATCTAAAATTATTTTCTTGCTCCCAAAAATTATTCATAACATTAAATAAATTTCTTACTGTTAGGTGTTATTACTTCCAAGTTTAAATGTTAAAATTCTGTAATGTGATGTAGTGTAGGTGAAACATTTCTTTTTTTTAGTGCCTTGCCAACTATTTCCAATGAACTAGGTTTGGTTGTATGGAGAAACAGTTTCCTTAAAGGCTGTGTAATGTTTATTTTGATTATTGTTGTTGAGTGATTGCTTAAAGAGGTGAACTTAGATATTCAATCTTTGTAGCTTGTGTAATCCAAGAATATTTTTTAATTTAGTTGAAATAAATTATAATAATTCTGCGGGGTTTTTTTTTTGTATTAATTTCAAGAAAGAAAACTGGTCAGTGAAATTATATTTTATAAATGGAATTGTTGCGAAAGCTTATCTGAAAGCGGAAGGTAGGGCAAGTAAGACATAACACACCCAAGGGCGGGCAAGTAAGACATAACACGCCTACGGAGTTCAAGTAAGACATAACACGCCCATGGGAAGTCAAGTAAGACAAAACATACCCATGGGCGGGCAAGTAAGACATAACACGCCCATGGGAGGTCAAGTAAGACATAACATACCCATGGGCGGGCAAGTAAGACATAACATACCCATGGGCGGGCAAGTAAGACATAACACGCCCATGGGAGGTTAAGTAAGACATAACACGCCTATGGTTTCTTCCAGGCATATCTTGGGGAGGGGGCAGAGCCTGACGAAATTCTACCTCCCCTCCCCCCCCCCGAACGAATTGGAATTTATATAGAAAATATATTCTTTTAGCAGTGTCCTCCCCCCCCACCCCCCCCCGGAAAAAAGTCTGGTAGAAACACTGCTCTACTCAACTTTTCCACCGACCGCATCAGAACATAACCATCGCCTCACTGTTAAACCAATTTGTTTTTTTATAGACGCAACGATTACAAAAAATCAGATAAGTGCTTTGTCTGAGGGAAAAATGTTTCCGTTTACAAAATACCCGGGTCGAGAAAGCTAACAGGAACAAATACATTTTCATGAGCGGACTGGATGTTTGCTGATGTATTTTAACATGATACGTGTTCTCGATAGATGGGGGGGGGGGGGGGCATTCATCATGGGGGCAGGGCATGTGGTGAGGTGGGAGGTAATTGACTGGGTAATATCTGTGAGGTTTTCACCTGGCTGTGGGTAGTGACACACATGGTAATGACTGGGGGAATGTAACTGACCCGGGTAATTTCCTTAGACCATTTATTAATACACACATGAATAAATAAGGCATATATATATATATATATATATATATATATATATATATATATATATATATATATATATATATATATATATATATATATATATATATATATATGTGTGTATAGATAGATACACACACACATATATATATATATATATATATATATATACATAATATGGGGGGGGGGCGCCAAATTATAAGTTCGTTCTGTGCGCCAGGAGGGGTCGCTTCGCCTCTGCCCTTAGTTGGAAAAACCTAGTTTTGCAAATTCGTCTGTATATCTGTGTGTCTGCCGTGTGTCTTTCTCTGAACACATAAACTTGAGTACCGTTTCAGTTGTAGTTCCGTATCAACTTATTCTGCTTTCGGCTTTTTAAAGTCTATAAATTAAGTACTTTTTCAGTTATATAGTCGAAATTTTACATATTAGTAAAATTGTGTCCTGTGGAGTATTTTTGTGAGAACACCTTCAGGAACGTGAAATCATAGAAACTATGAGAAGTCAGGTAAGACATAACACCCACTGGAGGTCAAGCAACATATACCACGGGAGGTCACGAAAGACATAACACACCCATGGGAGTTCAGGTAAGTATAACTATAACAAAAATGTTTTATTTTCTATAGAGTTGCATGACTAAAAACTTTTGCGCACCTAATAAACATGACAACGCTCGTATAATAGTGGTTGGATAAGCCTGCCTACTAATTTAGACAAAATTTTAATTAATTCACAAAAAATCAATTAGTCATCCAATTAAGTCAAATTTAATGTCAAATTGCATTGTTTACATGCTTTGATCCACGTGCCAATTTAGAAACGAATCTGTCAGTTAGAAGTGCCCGAAATTTCGCTCGAGCGATTCGATCTATTATGACATACTGATCACAGACTGCACGAGGAAGCAAGTTAAATAAAAGCATGTAAAATAAATATTAGTATAATATATAAGTATTGTCGATACATTTTTATGGCTTTGGGTTTCTCTAAAATGCCGAAAACGGCAATAATATTACATTTGCCTGTAATTTATTTAGTATTTAAAGATATTGTATTGTATTGGTGGTTGCATAAATATTTGGCAATATATTTTTTTGTTTAGTTTACTATAGTAACTATATATATATATATATATATATATATATATATATATATATATATATATATATATATATATATATATATATATATATATATATATATATATATATATATATATATATTTAGTGTGAATTGGACCGTGGCGAATACTGTTTTAGCTACATGTTTTTAAACCCTTCTTTACCAGTTTATTATACACCTTTGATAATTACAGGGAATCTAATTAATCACAACAATGAAATAGTTACTCGAGGTATATATGTCACAGAAAAAAAAACTAAGGGAATATGGATCTGAATGAAATTTATTTATTTTCTTAATAGATCTGACTGAAATTTATTTATTTTCCTAATATATGTCTAAATTGGTCTTATCTTCATTTCAGTGAAGGTTGCTGATGCAAAATCTTTAGTCGTGTGCCACCAGATTAAACCTTTGGCCTGTTCAGTACTTCCCCAAACTCCATTCAGATTTGCAACAAGACAATAAATGAACCACCAAGCGCTATGGTAGATTTCTGCGCAGTTTCCAGTACCAGCGTCGTTGTCTTTATCGAATGTGCTGAACTTCTGATTGTTGTGTGCCCAAGCAAAGGAATCCCCAGCGTTGCCTGAGTAACCGCTGACCTTTAACCTGTATCCCTCCACCTCTCCGTACACCCGAAACCTTGAATATTTAGCGAAATAGTCCGTGTTGTTAAATTTAAAATCGACCCTCAGCTCGTATCGTCTTTGTGACGTCAGACGGTGAATGTTCTCGTTGCCCAGCCAAAATTCTCCGACATCCACATCTCCAAACCCATACTTGTACTCCTCCCACCCCCGATAGAAATCTGTTTGTCCGTTGAATCTTCTCTGTATCACCGTCCATCCTCCCCCGTCTGTCTGCGTGTCACACATCACCTCAAGTCCACTTGACAGGATAACCACTGGTCTAGGCAGAGAACTGACCACATCCCTGCATGTGTCTGGTGTAGTTTGACAGGTAAGGTCAAGAGTGGCACTGGCAAAAGTTTTATTGTTGCCATTTCCTAAAAAAAATTCAAAAATAAAAAATCTTTTTATATATTTATTTGAAACTGATAGATAGCAAGAAACGGGCTGTAGAGGGATGGACTAGAAATTGTAACAGAAATAGTATATATCAATAAGCATATTTTAATATTTGATAATTAAAACAATTGTAAGATCGCGATGGTTAAATTTTTTTTTTTAATTCAATAATCAGATGTATCCATTTCTTTATAGCTTTCTTAATAAATTATCCCCATGTACAATTAGCTATGTGCACGGTTTGAACTGTTCTAATAAGTATATACACTTGGTTTAAATAATAATTAGATCTATAAAAAAGATGTCTGGAGAGGCGGCAAGATATGTTTTTGGAGAAGTGAGACGCAGATTTTACAAACAGTTCTAGTGATGATTAGCCCAAATGATTCACCCGATTTTCAATTCGTTGGTTTTTACAAGCTTTTATAAAACTTACTTCCTCTGCCTGTCGTCAGTCTGTCGTCGTCTGTCGTCAGTCTGTCGTCAGTCTGTCTAGATCGAAACGGCCGAGCGAAATTGCAGGAACTTCTAACTGACAGATAAAGTTCGTAGTTGGTACCTGGGTCAAGACATGAAGACAATGCATCATGACGCTAAAGTTGACTTAATTGGGTGCTTAATTAATTTTTTATGAATTAATTAAAATTTTGACCGAATTAGTAGGTAGTTCTATCCAACTACTCCACACGCGTCATCACGTTCAAGAGCGCGTCACCACGTTCAATATGTGCGCCATGGTTTTTAGTCATGAAACTCTATTGTAAATAAAAACATGTAAAGTACAAAATTTTTTCATAAAAAAACGTTTTAATAACAAGCTTTTATGTATTAATGCACTAAAAAGTAGAAAATAAATGATACACTACTATTTAAATTACTATAAAGAAAAGAGTGGGTCTCTTCTCAAATATTGGTAAAGGTATCCAATAGATACTAAAGTGACCCACGCTTTTCTTTTTAGCTATTTAAATAGTAGTGTATAATTTATTTTCTACTTTTTAGTGCATTATTACATAAAAGCTTGTTATTAAAACGTTTTAATGAATTTGTTTAGTAAATTTCACTATTGGAAATGGCGATCTTTGGGAAATCAACGTAGAGCTCACTGTGACGTCGTGGGTACCTGATAGAGTGAAGTAAATCTAATTTTTTTATGGGTACCTGACTCACGTGAAGAGAATGTAAAAATAAGCTGTACACATCCCTTCATAAATCGAGTTCACAGGAGCAGGCGAAGCCTACTGTAAAATATATCTGTTGTCAATTTCATTACACGAAAGGCTTACTACTTTAAAAAAAACCTAGAAATAGCTAAGGAGGGTGTATACATATCAAGAAATATTACTTGCATAAAAAGAAAATACTTGTTGCTCTGGAAATATTTAAACTAGGTAAATGGTGTCGGCAAATTTACTGGAAAGGAATTCGTAATAATTCCCATTAAAAGTAAATAAAAATGTCTATCAAAACACAACTTACTTTGTCCTATCACACTGTAAGCACACATTAGCAAAGCAAAGAGTCTCTTGATGTTCCAAAATCTGATAAACATTTGCAACAGGCTAAGTTAAAAACGAGATAAAGATTTTCTAATGGAAGTTATATTTAAGTTCAAAGTCGGTTTTCAACCATAGAAAGTAAAAATGAAGTGATATTACTTTATCTACCTCAATTTATACATGATCAAATATGTTTGATTCACACAAAAGTATCCACCCAATTACTTTAAACAAATATTATGTTGTAGTTTTAGTCACATCTCTGCTATCTCTTGATAAATGAACTCATAAAATATACGACTTGTTTGTTTGGAATAAGGCCAATTTACAATGCTGCCACGCCATAAAGTCACGAGCAACATATCTAATTTATAACTTTATAGCTGTTTTGACATCCAAAGTTTATTGATGTACCTAAAATTAAAATTTCGTGATAAAGTGCTCCGTTGAGAGTTCAGAAAAACAATGACACTATTGACACATCTTATTTTCTATCCCACTACTGTTTTTTTTTTAATTGCGAGGTTGAATTGAATGGTATATATTTCCGTTAACTGTACGTGTACGCAGAAGCGTACAAGTGGCAGGGGTGGGTGTTGTGAATGGACTTAAGTGTATGGAATGAGTTTGAGAGTAGGTGTGTAGTTGAATGGAGTTAATAAAGTTGTGGATGGTTTGAGAGTATGTGTGTAGTTGTATTAATAAAAGATTATGAATGCGTGAATAAAGAAGGATGTGACGTAAGAGAGAATGTTTTGGTTGTTATGAGGATAGTTAGAAGGCAGTCTGCGTCTTGTCGTCGTCATGTGAGGTTGTGTTAGGAAGTCTTCGTTCTGTGTCTGCTGTTGATGTAGCTGTATGTATTAATGTAATAAAATTATAGAAATGGATCAAGCCACCTTGTCTCATCTATATTCGATCTATAACTCGTTCGTCACGTTCAGCGTCGACCCTGTACCGAAACACACTTCGCAACAGTGAGGTACGAACCGCATCGGTAGACACCATTGGGGGGGGGGGGGGGGGGCACACCAAGACAAAAATTGCAAAACTTAGCGAAGAAAATGCTTTTGGCATGTTGAATCAACGATTAAAAGTGAATTAGTCTTTTAAGTACATGTTGACAATGCCGAAGTAGCATTCTAACTATAAAGAAAACAATTCTGCATTCAGGTGATTTACTAACCGACTATAAGTATAAATAAACATCGTTTCTATTACATGCGTACATGGGAAGGGGGTGGGGGGAAATGACACTAACTGCTAAATTTAAAGAGGGGAAAAATTTCTGTTGAATATTTTCAATGTCAGATAAATCAATCACGGTTTAGATTTAAGTTGTGACACGTATAAAACCACCAGGCTCCGTGAAAAACTGAGCTCAGTTACCTCCGTAAATAGTTGTTCCTGTCGAACGTGCTAAATTTGTGGTTGTTGTGTACGTTTATAAGAGAACAGGGGCGTAGCGAGGGGGGGGGGGGGGGCGGGGGGTGCGGGTGACACCATTTAGGGGGGTGACACCAAGGCAAAAAATAGCAAAATATATAGAGAAAAACTCGAGGGGGGTGCAAATCAAAAGTTTGAGGGGGGGGGGGGGTGTGCAAATCGAAAATTTGAAAGTTTGTCCCTGGGAAGGGTCTCTATGCCTCTGGGGGGGTGACACCATTAAGTGCCGCACCGGGTGACACCCGACCTCGCTACGCCACTGTAAGAGAAAGACAGAGATAGCGAGTTAAATAAAAAGTTGTAAAAAATGTCTGACATGCTGTCGACTCTGACAGGCCGCCAGATACATTTTTAGAGAAATTATATTATTTTACTTAGCCTCCAAAAGAAAGTAAAATCAAGCCAAATATTATTTTGAATTAAATTATATCACAATTGAACCGATTCCATTGCTAAAAATTTCATAAAAAACGTTTTAATAACAAGCTTTTATGTAATAATGCTCTAAAAAGTAGAAAATAAATTATACACAACTATTTAAATTACTATAAAGAAAAGCGTGGGTCTCTTCCTAAATATTAGTAAAGGTACTAGATACTAAAGTGGCCCACGCTTTTCTTTGTAGTAATTTAAATATAGTGTATCATTTATTTTCTGCTTTTTAGTGCATTATTACATAAAAGCTTGTTATTAAATGTTTTTATGACATTTTTTTTAGTACTTTACATGTTTTATTTACAATATAGTTGCATTACTAAAAACCATTGCTCACCTATTGAACGTGAACGCATGTCTAATAGCGCGGAATAGTTTGATGAGACAGCCTACTAATTTGGACAAAATTTTAATAAATTCATCAAAAATTAATCAGGCAACCATTAAGTCAAATTTAATGTCATGTTGCATTGTCTTCATGTCTTGACCCCACGTACCAACTACGAACCGTATCTGTCAGTTTGAAGTGCCTGCCATTTCGCTCTGGCGTTCCGATCTGGACAGTACATTGGCACTATTTGCACTAAAAAGTAGAAAATACATTATACACTACCATTTAAAAATATAAAGAAAAGCGTTGGTCTCTTCCTCAATATTAGTAAAGGTATCTGTCATAGCGTAGATATATAGAATTAGACTAGACTAGTAGAGGTTACGGAGGACGGTACGAACTTGACGGTAGACGATTTGGTGCGAGAGTATTGTGCGCGTGTTCAATAAAATATTTGTGGCGCGAGTGTGACGTGAGCATGACGCGACAATGTACCGAAGACGTAAGACGCAGCAGTGAAGTTAGTTGGGGGTTAGCTATAGTAGAAGACTGACGTATTCTTTTATATTGTGCTAATGATCTATAGGTGTGTGTTAATAAAGTTATTGTTATTTCATAACGAAGTTGTTGACATTGCTAATTAGTCTAAGTGTCTGCGGAAAATAAGAGCGATTCCCGTCCTCCTCACGAGTATAATAGTAGCCGTATGAATAGTAGTAGATCAGAATATATAGAGAAGTTAAAGTTATATAAACCCCCCATCACAGTATCCAATAGATACTAAAGTGACCCACGCTTTTCTTTATATATATGTTACGGTCAAAGCCCCAAGTGCGGCCAAAGCACGCACTGGCTGGCCAATGTGCGCATTGGCCGGCTCTCTTGGCCAAAGCCCGAAAAGCTTAGCACTAAGAACGTATTTCATATATTGGCCGGCATATGCGCGCACTGGCGGGATGTCATGGCCAATGTCCTATCTAGACTAAGTTGTGATCACGTTTTTATTATCCAGGGTGCGGTTTCATTATGAGTAACGTATTGTTTGGCTCTTGTTTGTATAGCATTCTATATGCAATGCGCCATAGACCAAAAGAGCCGTCAGACCAAGAGACAGACCTAGCAGAATAAATCTAAACCCTTGTTAGTTTCCCTGTATGGGCTACTACTGTGTGTGATAGCCTCACCGGCCACGTGCAGCAAGACAGAATGTTTGATGCTACCCTTGTAAGGAATCCAACAATCGCCATATGAATCCTTGTTTAGGTGCCAAACAAAAATATGCCAAGACAGGCTCTCGATAATTTAGTTACTGAGGAAGATCTTGAGAACATTGAACAAGAAATGGAGGTTGTCATAAATGCAACAACATCCTCAGCTAACATGGCGAAACGTCCTGACCAGTTGCGTGACAATAAATAGGTCAACAGATTATGTGTAGTTTGTGAAAAATAATGCAGTGCAGCCCATTCTTGTGGATCCTGTAACAATTATGTTCATGGAATTTTCGAAATAGCTAATGAAGCAGACGGGAGTACAGAGCGAACATTACTTGCAGATTATGTCACAATAAACAAAAAATCATGAACAACAGGTCAGCAGCTCATACTAGGTTGCAAACTCAAGGTGCTCAACAAACTCAACAAAATCAGATACAAAATATAAACAAGATCTGGTATCTTAAAAAAATATATCGACAATAAAATTCTACACTATACAATCAAACATTAAATAAATTACCTTGGCTGAAAATTAAAAACAAATCACCCCTGGAACAAAATCAACAGTGTCTCAAAGCCCGCGTTCCTTTTTTCCTCGATATAACAGCAGTAATGAGCCAATTATGGCCATTGACACCCACTTCATCCTGTTTTTTTATGATTTGCTTACATAGACTTTGTCCGCCAAAGAACAATCTACAAAGCAGCAGTTGTTTGATTTTGGAGTTTTTTCTTAGATGTGTTGCTGCCCCCAGTTATCGAGCCTCATCTACCTGGATAGGGTAAATAGTTTTTAGGAGGACGAACAACTCGTAGAAAGAAATAACAGCATACATAGGTTACATTCGTTCTATGAGAGAACAAAATAACATGAAAACTGAATGTTTTTTAGCTGAAGAATATACCCTACCTTTTGAACGCAGGTCTTTTAAAATGATGGCAGCCATCTGGCAATGTGGTTAAGTAGGGCCTACTCGGCAACTTGAAAAATGCTCTTTGGTGAAGTAAGACCTAGATCTTAGCCAGATATATTAAACTCATAAAAGTCGACAATATCAAACCCCAGTTTCATTGCCATCCAGGTATTTAGCTATGGATGTGAAAAGATTAGGTAGAGTTCAAATGTTTCATGACCTCAATATACAAGACGTGTTGCCGTCACAGCTGGGTGGACTCAAGGAGGTCCAAAAGTCACAAGTCCGAAGCGAGATCCGAACTCTAGACTTTCGGGTTAGCCAAAATGCTCTACCATTTGACCACGCGGTCTCACTTGGGTTTGAAAGCTAGAAATACAAAGTTTGACATACTACATGTAATTTATATATATATATATATATATATATATATATATATATATATATATATATATATATATATATATATATATATATATATATATATATATATATATTGTAAAATTAAACTCCTTTTGATTTTGCAAACTAATTGAGTTTAATACAGACAGATTATTTTACGCCACATAACTCTCTCTCATCATGTCCATCCCAACTCTATTTCAATCATTAATTACACACACATTGAAACCTAACCTTTTTTTAATGTACCACTTACCTTATTGTTTTAAAAACACATTTTGTTAAAATTACTCCTAGCTAGTATTATCCTGATTTCCAATTAATAAAATGTTCAAGGTGATACAATACCCTATAGCCTAGAAAACGTAAGCATTTTTTAATAAGATACAACTATTCAACCTTACAGAAAATTTTCCAAAGCCTGACAGATGAATGCCATCGTTTAAATATGAAAAATGTTGCTTTTACTTTCTCGTATACCGAGATTTTTGCAAATCTCGACGTTTTACGACTCCCTGACTCGGAAAGACATAAATTTGCAATCTTTTCCTTATGTCTGTGTTGTGTTTGTGTATGTGTGTCAGTGAACATGATAACTTGAGTACCGTTACAGCTAGGTTGATGAAATTTCATATATAAGGATTATATCAAATTTGTAGTTTTGAGTCAACTTTTCAGCGATTTCAGGTAACCAGAAGTGGAACTAATTATACTTTGAATTTTTCAAAAGACTATAACTTGAGTACTATTTCAGATAGATAAAGGAAATTTCACATATAAATAAAAGATCTAATTCTCTGCCTTCTGTCAAACTGTTAGTAATTTCCGTCGTTATTTACGCTATTTCCGATTTCTCAAAAAAAAAAAACCGCATGTGAATTTATAAAGTACTAATAATATTCCGCACTATTATACACATTTTGTTTTGCTTTCACTTGGTGCGCAATTCTTTATTTCTACGAGATTCTATTCTATTTTAAAAAGTTTAAGTAATTAAAAATGGATTTAAAATATTGTCTATTTTCCGATTTGCCATCCCCTGTTGTTTTATTTAAGAATATTCGAGAAAGTGTAGTGGAGATCACTCCGGGTTTATTTAGCATGTTTTAAAATGATTCTATGGCTTTAGAGATGTCTGTTTTGATTTCTAGGGTGCTGTCTTCTTCCTAATGGACACCAGCGAGTTGACTGAGAATCCTTCCATAATGTTGTTGACATGGAATAAAAACGTGCTTTTTAGATTTAGACCGTAAAAAAAAAAAAAAAAACTTAAGCCTAAAATTAATTTAGAAATTTTATATTTTTAGAATAAATGCTATAAAAGTTGTAAATCCAGAGAACTTGAAAATAATTTGTTGAGTTTAAGGCTAAATTTCTATTTATTTTCATCAAGCCTAAGTTATAACCGGATGTTTCACTTTCATAAGACAAATATTGATTGGCTGTACAGTAACTTAGTGATCGATAACTATTTGATTACAAAACTTTGCAGACCAAGTTTTTAAATAACAATGCAAATTTAAACACAATGCCCTAGTTTTTCTATTTTTAGCTTACAATGTGTACAATACAATTTACTGCAGACTATCGAATAGTAGGATGCCATTGTTTATGTCGCCATTACACGTGAAAACCAAATTGTTTTTGCTTTTTTTAAATTTTTATTTAGTTACCGAAAATATTAAAAACATCAGATACATCAAATCTTAAGTAAAGTCCGAAAAAAACCAGACATGCAGGATTTTATAACCATATTAATTGTAACTACGCCGTTTTGTTTATATCAATTATTTTAACAACTTCAAGATAACAAAAGTGCTTCACAGTTTGTAAAATGTTTCATATCTTTTCATGAATCTACCACGAGAATTGAGTCGCTAGACCAATAAACGGTGGTGTATTTAATGATTATAATTACCAACCGGCTACTTATCAGTTCTTCCAGCTGTATGTCATATTTATTTAGGTACTTGAATGGAAACTTATTTCAAACATTATATGTGACCTTATATAGGCTACGTCAGGCCGTTAAATACGTGGATGTCAAAATGCAGTTCCAGATGATATGTTTCGCTTTATCTTATGACTTGCAACAGTGTCAAGTGATCTTTTATAAATTAACAAGTCGCATATTTTATGTGTTCAGTTAACAGAGCTGTTACTTTTCATACAAGACACTATTTGTTTAACGTAATTTGATGTAAACAAGGGTGTCCGGGCAGGTATAAATAAAGGCAGATTAAATGAAACCTTTTCAACACAACTTGCTTTACTTGAAAGCGGACTTTTAATTAAAAAAAAATTTTCAGAAAAAAACTACCTCGTTACTAGCATAACTTTCTGCAAATGTTGAAAAGCGTTTGGAACATCGTGAGACTCTTTGCTCTGCTATTATGTGCTTGTAGTGTGGTTGCACAAAGTAAGTTGGGTTTTTATTGACATTTGAATAAACTGTTTTATAAGTGTTACTATGCTTTCGATTGGGCATATTTAACGTCACCGCCTACTTAGTCTAAATGTTTTCAGATCAACATTTGTTTTCTTATCACGCTAATGTGCATTTCGCGGTACTGATACCCAGCTGTATGTGGTCTCTATAATTCTGATAAGTAGAGCTAAAGTGTAGTCACGCCATTGCAGTGAGCTCTACTTCAACTTCTTCAAGGATCGCCAGATCCGATAGTTTAAACGATGAAGATGTGATGCCTGATTTCAACATATCTTCATCGTGGATTCTTTACGTGAATCATTATCAAGCCAACAGAGAAGTGACAATTGAGAAAACTACACGAACTTATCTGATAACCTGGCATTTGTTTCATGCACACGGCTCACACTCTTATACAAAATAATTTATAAATTAGGATACATTTTGTAAAACAGGATGATTGATCTTTTTCAAACTCAAAGTGCAATTAATTCGATAATATCATAATCTAAAATAGCTAAAACAAAGAAAGTAAAAATCGGGAGAATTTGTGGGCTAATCACAACAGCAGTTTTTAAAATAAGCGTTATAACGTATGCTATCACAAAGCAAAATATCTTGCGCCTCAAACGGAGACATCTAATACAATTTTTTAAACCCAGTTTTTTAAACTTATTTGAACAATTCTAAACTTCACACAAGTCAAAACATTCACAAATCTCGAACTTTGGCGAGAGTTTTCGGAAGCAATAAAAAAAATTCATAAAAAAACGTTTTAATAACAAGCTTTTATGTACTAATGCACTAAAAAGTAGAAAATAAATTATAGACTACTATTTAAATAACTATAAAGAAAAGCGTGGGTCACTTTAGTACTTTAGTACCTATCTTATACCTTTACTAATATTTGAGAAGAGACCCACGCTTTTCTTTATAGTTATTTAAATAGTAGTCTATAATTTATTTTCTACTTTTTAGTGCATTAGTACATAAAAGCTTGTTATTAAAACGTTTTTTTATGAATTTTTTTCAGTACTTTACATGTTTTATTTACAATAGTGTTACATGACTAAAAACCATTGCGCGTCTATTGAACGTGATGGCGCAGCTATTCAACCTGATGGCGCAGCTATGGAACGTGATGACGCGTGTGGTGTGGTTGGATAGACATGCCTATTGATTCGGTCCAAATTTTAATTAATTAATAAAAAATTAATTAGGCATCCAATTAAGTCAAATTTAGTTTCAGATTGCCTTGTCTTCATGTCTTGACCCACGTGCCAACTGTGAATCGTATCGGTCAAGTAGAACTGTCCGAATTTTCACTCCTGCGTTTCTATCTAGACTGACAACTGACGACAGACAGAATGACGAGGAAGTGAGTTAAATAAAAGCTTGTAAAAATTGATGCATAATACACTGGTATTGCCCAAACAATTTTAATCATCATGATGTTATAAATATTATAATTGTCCGGAGCTAAAACTTAACCTCAAAGACATTTCAATAAACGTGTAGATATAAACTATATTTCTGTTACAATAGTTAGAATACACTCTGGAACCCGCTTATTGGTGTCTCTTAGATTGGATGATATATATATATATATATATATATATATATATATATATATATATATATATATATATATATATATATATATATATATATATATATATATATATATATATATATATATATATCGCTTTTTTGTATTGTTATCTAGGCAGTGGCAATAAAACTTCAACGAGAGCCACTCTTGACCTTAACTGCCAAACTACACCAGACACATGCAGGGATGTGGTCAGTTCTCTACCCAGACCAGTGGTCATCCTATCAAGTGGACTTGAGGTGATGTGTGACACACAGACAGAAGGGGGAGGATGGATGATGATACAGAGAAGATTCAACGGACAAACAGATTTCTATCGGGGGTGGGAGGAGTACAAGTATGGGTTTGGAGATGTGGATGTCGGAGAATTTTGGCTGGGCAACGAGAACATTCACCGTCTGACCTCACAAAGACGATACGAGCTGAGGGTCGATTTTAAATTTAACAACACGGACTACTTCGCTAAATATTCCAGGTTTAGCGTGTATGGAGAATTGGAAGGTTATAGGCTAAAGGTCAGCGGTTATTCTGGCAACGCTGGGGATGCCCTCATTTTTGTACACAACAACATGAAGTTCAGCACGTTCGACAAGGACAATGATCCAGACCGCGGAAACTGCGCTGAAACCTACCACGGCGCCTGGTGGTACAATGGATGTCACGTCTCAAACCTGAACGGACAATGGGGAAGTTCTGAATTCGGTGTGGGCCTTAACTGGCACCCAACGACATTCTGGAGAGCGTCTGCTACTTTCACTGAAATGAAGATACGACCAGTTAAATAAAATATTTTTAATCAATAAAATTTCAAGAAGTTTAATGTTAAAATAGTTACATAATTATCATTTAAATATAGTTATGTGCTCAAAATCTTTAATGTTAAAAATAATGTATTTTTTACCTCTTTCTTTGAGAAGAATTTTTTTTCTTATACACTGGGATTACAACATAATTTGGTCAAGTATGTTGCAAAATATTTAGCTTAAAGTAACGTTACTCATTAAATTAAGCCAGATTCTCGGGTTATAACATTACTATTTATATTGTAATTCGGATGGTTATCTGGTATCTTAAAAATAATATATCGACAATAAAATACTACACTATACAATCAAACATTAAATAAATTACCTTGACTGAAAATTAAAAACAAATCACCCCTGGAACAAAATCAACAGTGTCTCAAAGCCCGCGTTCCTTTTTTCCTCGATATAACAGCAGTAATGCGCCAATTATGGCCGTTGACTCCCACTTCATCCTGTTTTTTTACAAGCTTTTATTTAACTCACTTCCTCGACAGTCTGTCTGTCTGTCTACACCGAAACGCCGGAGTGAAAATTCGGAAACTTCTACTTGATCGATACGATTCACACTTAACACGTGGGTCAAGACATGAAGACAATGCAATCTGAAATTAAATTTGACTTAATTGGATGCCTAATTAATTTTTTATGAATCAATTAAAATTTGGACCGAATTAGTAGGCATGTCTATCCAACCACACCACACGCGTCATCACGTTCAATAGCTGCGCCATCACGTTCAATGGCTGCGACATCACGTTCAGTAGGCGCGCAATGGTTTTTAGTCATATAAATCTATTCTAAATAAAACATGTAAAGTACTGAAAAAAATTCATAAAAAAACGTTTTAATAACAAGCTTTTATGTAATAGTGCACTAAAAAGTAGAAAATAAATTATAGACTACTATTTAAATAACTAGAAAGAAAAGCGTGGGTGTCTTCCTTAACATTAGTAAAGGTATCCAATAGATACTAAAGTGACCCACGCTTTTCTTTCTAGTTATTTAAATAGTAGTCTATAATTTATTTTCTACTTTTTAGTGCACTATTACATAAAAGCTTGTTATTAAAACGTTTTTTTATGAATTTTTTTTATGATTTGCTTACATAGACTTTGTCCGCCAAAGAACAATCTACAAGGCAGCAGTTGTTTGATTTTGGAGTTTTTTCTTAGATGTGTTGCTGCCCCCAGTTATCGAGCCTCATCTACCTGGATACGGTAAATAGTGTTTAGGTGGACGAACAACTCGTAGAAATAACGAACAGCCTACACCGGTTGCATTCGTTCTATGAGATAACAAAATAACATGAAAACTGAATGTTTTTTAGCTGAAGAATATACCCTACCTTTTGAACGCAGCTCTTTTAAAAAGATGGCAGCCATCTGGCAATGTGGTTAAAAACTCGGCAACTTGAAAAATGCTCTTTGGTGAAGTAGACCTAGATCTTAGCCAGAAATATTAAACTCATAGTAGACTGTGAGCACTTTGCGTTTATGTTTGCGTTTGTGTTTTCTTTGTGCTTGGGTTGGGTTTGCGTTTATGGTTGGGTTTGCGTTTGAAATTGGTTTCTTTTCACTTGCTTTTTCGTTTGTGTTTATTTGTGTTTGCGTTTGTGTTTGCGTTATGTTTGCATTTTTGTGTGTTTTCGTTAGGTTGGTTGTGGCTACGGTGGGCAATGCCGGGTATATGCTGATTACTAAACACACATGCGTGTTTTTTTACAGATAGGTTTTTCAGAGGCCAGTGCAGGGCCTGGCCGGGACGGCTAGTTATTTAATAAAATACAATCCTAGGCTATACACCATTGACCGCTATTATATATTTTATCATGGGAAACAATTGTTGTGACTTTTATTGTTTTATTCTCCCTGGCCATTCCATTTAACTTCATGAAGAGGTTGAGGGTGTTTGATTTTAAGTAGGCCTATTTGAATTGATAAAATAATTCCAAACGTCCTTTCAACTGCTTATATCAATACAAAAATACAGAAGAAAATAGAATGAAGCTAAAACTACTTTGTTACAAGCAAAAAGAAGTATAAAACACAAGGAATTTTTTAGCGCAATTTCCATTCTGGAGAATTGCGTTTATTAACCCGTCATTTCTGGATGTATGAATGTATGAATGAATGGATGGATGGATGGATGTGTGTCCGCAGCTTTAAGTCGTATCTCCTCCTCAACGAAGCAATATCGGTGACTAGTTCCAAAAGCAATTTTGTTAAGCAAGTTACGAGGATGAACATAGGCCATAAAAATTCCGGGTTTCTTTCATGGATTTCCCGGAAAAGCCAAAAAACCTCGAAAAAATGCAGTGTTTGGCCCATATCTCGGCAACCAGACCACTTAGCGACTTGAAACATGTACCAATCGATTCCTGCCATAATTTAAAACAATATTGCCGAAGAAAGTTTTCAAAAATATCCTTTCGTTCGGTCACAAAATTTTTTTTGAATTAATTAAAATTTGGACCGAATTAGTAGGCATTTTTTCCAACCACACCACACGCGTCATCACGTTCAATAGCTAGGCGCGCAATGGTTTTTAGTCATGTAACTCTATTGTAAATAAAACATGTAAAATACTGAAATTTTTTTTTTAATAAAAAACGTTTTAATAACTAACCAATGGTTTTACTAACCCTGCTCTTGATTTACGCTACGACGGAGCTATTTTTAGATAACATAAGGAAATTGCGCTAAAATTGTCACTAGACTTTTTAATTAACTTGTTTAGTTTTAGTGAACTATTTCAGGCCTTTAAATATTGTAAATCAAACTTTGTATTTTAGCAATGGAATAGGTTTAATTAGGATATGATTTTAAAATAAGGCTAAAATTTATTTACTTTATGGTTAAGTTTGGGCTTCTTTCAAAATTCTTACGAAGTATTTTAACCAAAAGTGTATGTGACGTCCTGGCCGAGACCAAAGCTTGCTAGCCAGCCTGTCAAGTGACATTGGCACGGAACCAAGGCATTCATTTGAATTTTTAAATTGTAATTTTCCCACAAAGCAAGAGGGAAATATGTACGGAACCGAGTGATTCTAATTCTTTGTTATTAATTTGACGTTAGCTTCAATAATTTATTATTTTTTTATGCACATTAAGTTCCAGCTCAGAAAATATTATAAAAGGAAAGTGATGTTTTTTTAAACACAAAACCATGTAAGCTAAGGTGCGACTTCATTTTAGATCTGTACAGTAAAGTTGCTTGAATGTTTGTATTTTTTAATGTTGACCATCTTACATTACTACACTTTTCATCCCATTCACATAAAAATTTGGAAGGTTGTTGATAATAATTTCGGAAAATTTTCTGGGGATATTAAAAATTTGATTAAAATTTTTGGAGCCCCCAAACACATTGGCTGTCGCTGTGTTCTTCCTCCATATTACAGAGAATGATTAGCATCAACTGAAAACGTTCATAAACACGCTTATATATACCAGCGTGCCCGTCCCCGCTCGTTGCCGCTGAGTTAAAGAAAAGTCTGACGGACTATTTTCAGTTGGTTTCATCAATGCGTTTCTGGCCTGGCGCTACCTATAAGGCGAACTAGTCGGTCGCCCGGGGCACTCTCCGTAGGGGGAGCAAAAGTGTGTAATCGCCATTATTACAAAGTATCTAATAATTAATAACTTTTTATATATTAAATAAACTATAGACAGGGTAAAATTCAAAGGCGTAGTGATCTATTTCGATGTACAGAACTAACTATTAATTTTGCGTCCCCTCCTCAAATTAGGTCTATATGTAGCTATCCGCGTTTGTGAAAATGCGCCCCCCCCCCCTTCCTTCAACATTTGGGAAGATCGGGGCGCTTTTTTATTACAAGCTTTTATTTAACTCACTTCCTCGTCAGTCTGTCGTCAGTCGTCAGTCTAGATAGAAACGCTGGAGTGAAAATTCGGACAGTTCTACTTGACCGATACGATTCACATTTGGCACGTGGGTCAAGACATGAAGACAATGCAATCTGAAACTAAATTTGACTTAATTGGATACCTAATTAATTTTTTATTAATTAATTAAAATTTGGACCGAATCAATAGGCATGTCTATCCAACCACACCACACGCGTTATCACGTTCAATAGCTGCGCCATCAGGTTTAATAGCTGCGCCATCACGTTCAATAGACGCGCAATGGTTTTTAGTCATGTAACACTATTGTAAATAAAACATGTAAAGTACTGAAAAAAAATTCATTAAAAAACGTTTTAATAACAAGCTTTTATTACTAATGCACTAAAAAGTAGAAAATAAATTATACACTACTATTTAAATTACTATAAAGAAAAGCGTGGGTCTCTTCTCAAATATTAGTAAAGGTATCCAATAGGTACTAAAGTACTAAAGTGACCCATGCTTTTCTTTATAGTAATTTAAATAGTAGTGTATAATTTATTTTCTACTTTTTAGTGCATTAGTAATAAAAGCTTGTTATTAAAACGTTTTTTAATGAATTTTTTTCATTACATCACATTGCCTTTTAATTTTGGTGTCTCACAATTGATGTAGAGAACAATTCAATAAGTCCGTAACGTCAAGTAGTAGTCAACATTCTTTATTTTGACTGTATATGTAAGCGCTGCTATGGGAGATAAATATTCTACTACCCTTCTAGGCTTATCTAACTAATCTGGTCAGTGGAACCGTGGTGAAACCCACGGTGGTTAAATCTTATCCTTAACCTTAATCTAAATAAAAAAACAAACTTGAACAATTTATTAAATTTATTGTACACATGGAACCAATGTTAAAACCAAATGAAAAAGAATAAATTAAAAAAAGGATTTAAAAAAACTCCAGACACGACTAAACAAAACAGACTTTAACGTGACAAAACAATATATACAAAACATTACGTTCGACTATTTGATGGTGTTGCACCGACTTATGATGTCTAGGATGGTCCAGGTCCTGACACACAGAAACCTCCCTTCATCCGTTCTCGACATCCAAAAGTCCACACCA